AATGATTGTTCCCATCTTCTTGGTTAATGATATTCTCCGTGTTATGTACAAATCCACACTTGTCATTGGCTCGAGGTAGTAGATGATCTCAACATGTGAATCATTCTTTATCTTCATGGTGCGCCTTACACCATGAGTCACAAAGATTAACAAAATATGTAGTTTACTAGCTATTTCAAGATCCCAACCAAACGTCACACAAATCATACCAAACAGCTCATCATATGACAACCGACTATCAATAACAAGAGTGTCGTCCGGCTTGTTCTCAAATGTGTTCACTACACCATTCTCTGTTACATACTTACTTTTATGAAACAAATTAAGTATGTATGGCCTATGCACGGACATTTTAATCATTATTTGCCTGTTAATCATAATTCAACATAATCGAAATCATAATCCCTAAACCCTATCAAATTTTCATACAAACAAAATCCATCCAAATTCATTAAATTAACCTCAATCAATTCTTAAAATAACAACAATCCTAACCTATAAACTCAACAACAACATCTACATTACCATATTACATTCATAATCATCAAACATAAGTCCTAACAATCTTCTATCTTCAAACAATATAAATACACAACAAAACAACAAAAAAACATTGATTTAATGATTAACCTCATTAGAAAAACGATTCTTGTTGCATTTAGTGGTAATGTGCGTCCAAAAGGCTGAAGAACTCCAGCCACAAGTTGAAAAACCCGATATGAAGAGAAGTTGCAAATTTTTTTTCATTTTATATCACGTAGTTTCGGATTTGGCAAATCCGAGAGACACTATTTATGTGGGGCTCTCGGATTTGGCAAATCCGAATGTCCATCACCTTATCCGATCCAATTTAATATATCCAACAACCTTATCCACAAGGACGGATTACCCCTAAACCGAAAGGATTCCTTCGGATTTGGCAAATCCGAGAGGTAATCCTTAACCCTAAACCCTAGAACTCGGATTTGCCAAATCCGAGTTCACTGTTCTAAAATTTGAATTTGTCCGCCATTTTTTCTTGATTTTTTTGAATATTAAATTTAAGGTTTTCCGGATTTCTCAAATCTGAGTGCACTGTGTCATGGGCTGCTCTTTTTAATAGCAATCCGTGCAGCACTAGCTCACTCAAATGTATAAAGTGATGCTAGCTCAACCTATCTAAATCAAAATCTGCAATTTTGGAATGAGAAATTTAGGAAGAAAGAAAGGTTCTTGACCTAAATCAAAGAAGACCTCTTAAGTTGTTTAGAATCCAATCAATTCTACACTTATACAAATGAGGGGTCTTGCCATATTTATAGGCAAACTCTTAAGATCTTAGAAGTTTCTTCCACATCCTCTACAAAAACTACCTCCACACTTCTAGACTATTTTTGAACATTAACCTAGCATTACATGGAATCTTCTAGTTAATTCCATATTATCCTATATTCTACAATATTCTAGAAGCTTCTAAAGAGTTCTACACTATTCTAAGATATTTTATATATTTTCACGATATTCTACACAAGTCCAGAATATCTATAATACTCAAGAACATTCTAAATATTTCTAGAAATTTCACGACCATAACAATTGTTCACCTTTTGACCCTCTTTTCCATATTTTCGAAAAAAAAAAAATAAAGTATATAATTTTTTATTATATTTTATTGTTTTAGATTTGGAAAATTTAAGGGCCCGTTTAGTTACTCTCAAATTTGCCAGAATTGCCAAATTTACCACATCGGGTACAACTATTTTTGTCAAAAAAAAAAAAATTGTTTTTGGGACTAAATCATGGAATTTTTTCCTTAAATATACATGAAAAAAAAACCTGGACAAAAATAAAACTTTCTAAAACCTTGTGGACAAATTTATATGCCCCGGATTTAGGAAATCCGAATGGGGGGAAAACTCGGATTTCGGAAATCCGACCCCAACTCAACTCGGATTATCAAAATCCGACTTTGTATTACGTAAATCCGATATTAAGTTAATGACAAAAATTAGTGTAATTAATCTAAATCCGAATTTTATAAATCCGTTTTTATCAATAAAATATTAATTTCCGGATAGAAAAAAATAATGTGTTGAAAAATTAAATTTGGGCGGAACTCGGATTACCGAAATCCGAATCTGCTCTGTTTTCTGAAAAATGATGACTCCCAGTTGGACACGGACTCGGATTTCCGAAATCCGAATCCTTTACAAAAAGTCTGGGTTAGGATTTCGCAAATCCGAGTCTTTGTCAGAACTGAAAAAAAAAATTGGACTGATTTTCACCAGTCCTAAACATGTTTACAGCACCAACAACAATGAAACATTGGAAAATAGGAATTTAATAACAACAAAACAATAAACGGCATTCGATTAACAACAAAATAAATCAAGTTTCATAAAAAGTTCCATACAAAAACTACTATAAATGTCCAAAATAATGAAATGTCTCATTTTTTCCCTTTTCCTTTATTGTGCGCATCCGGAGTGTATTTGTTTGGGCCCTGTCGGATCCTGTCTCCCCTCTTAAGATATGTGAGTATTGAACTTTGGTGTGGTTGCGACTGTCCACCAAGCAATTTACCCTTGTATCCACCACGCAAAAAGGTTCCATCGATACAAATGACCGGTGGACATTCAAAAAACGTCTCAGCCACCGGTGCAAATGACCAGAAGACGTATTTAAATGTCCGGTTTCCCCTGTTCCAACCTTCTTGTCCCTCCTTCCATTCTCACTCTACTACAGTCTCAGGATTAGTAAACTTAAGCGCAGCGATATACCTAAACAACAACAAGTCATTGTTAAAATATTTCAATACATGTAAAAATAAAAATACTATAAATATTTCAATACACGGATAAAAGTTGATATTTACCGTGGAAGTTCTTCGAAATTGGAGGTCCAATCACCATAGACCGCTTCTATGGCTTTCCTCCTCCCGTGCCACGCCCTTTTGTATGGCACATCTACTTTCAATAAGGTCTTCACATCTTTCTGTGCCGAGGCTACCGTATAATCTACGTTGTCCTCAACCTTTTTCCTGATGAGTCTAGCAATCAAAGACGCGTCCACACACCGATTGTCATTATCATTCACAGGAGTCATGCAATTATGTGCATCATGCCATCTCACAATTTCATGAAGGCCGTGAGCTTTCAATGACACACGCATCTTCCACTCACATGGTGATTCACCATCCTCACTTTCCACATTAAATGTTCTGCATCGCACAACCCACGTCCTTGGACTACTCGCGGCGACCGTATATTCCCTTTTATGATGGATATTCCATAATTTCACAGCATGCTTTGCTTCTGATTGAGATTTGAAACTTACACCAATGTCCATTCCTTCGGGCGTCTCATCCCACATCTTAAGAGCAAACTCATCCTTGTCTACACATGAGGCATCCCAGTTCCCCATCTTACTATATACATGGCGTCGGGCGAATAGATTACAATCCCTTTCCTCATTTTCCAACCTTTCATCATCACTTTCTTCAAAATCACTCTCTCCGAGACATCACGGTCTTCTTCGCTTTCACTGGAGCTATGTAGTCGGAATCCAACTCTTCCCGTAGTCATTTTGTGCAAATAAAGGTGTCTCCTCTTCATCACGGTTTCGAGAAGTACTAGCACGTTCCCCCTTCGAAAATCACCAAATGACACGTTTTCCAAACTCGCTTCTCTTCTTCTTGAGTGATATCTTCCAAATCTATGTATAAATCCAAACATGACATTGGATCTACACGGTTCATGAACTCTACATGCGAATCATTCTTGATCTTCACTACACGCCTACCACCGGACTATCAAAAATCAAAGAAAGGTGGAGTTTCACGTGTCTGGATCCCAACCAAGGGTCATACAAATCTTACTAATCAATCCCTCATATGACAATCTTTCTTCGACAAACAAACCATCATCCGGCATATTCGAAAAGTGTTGATGCTACCGTTCTCTATCACATACTTACTTGTATGATACAAATTAAGCATGTATGATACATTACGTGCCATTGATAAGCTGTTAAAAAAACATCAATAACTAATCATTTCTTAATAACAAAATCAACAAAATACACCATACATTCTCTAAAATACACCATACACCATACACCATACATACTCCAACAAATACACCATACTAAAATACTTATAAATCAACTTCGATATCTCATGAACAACTATGATTTCTCATCTCTAACCTCAAAATCAACACCTAAAACATCCAAACAACCAACCAACATAAACCCTAATCTATCATACATCATTCTAACAATCAAAATAACACAAAAATAAACTAAATAACATGGTTTTGCAGTCTAACCTCTTTCAAATAACGATTTCCACGTATCTAGAGGCAAGAATGTATCAAAAACTTCAATTCGCCCTTGTTTGAGCTGCAAAAACAGAAAATCCAACTCAGTTCTCGAATGAGAACTGCTTGAAATTTTTTTTCTTTTATAGCACGTTAAACTCGGATTTACGAAATCCGAGTCCGTAAGTAACTCGGATTTTCGAAATCCGAACTGTGTTAGATTCGGATTTCATAAATCCGAATTTAGTCAATTTAGGATTATTTTATTAATTTTTTGGTCCTCCAATTTAAGGCACATGCCTACTTCCACCAACCAAAATTAAAGGCATCCCGATTTCTAAAATCCGAATGCGTCAAACCGGATTACGGACTTCCGGTTTTTTGAATTCAAAATTTCGCGCCGCGATTTATTAATTTTTAACTAAACTCGGATTCTACAAATCCGAGCTTTACTGTTCATTAAAGAACTAAAAAAACTATTATTCAACAAAATTTATGAAATTATTATTTTATTATTAAGTATGGATCCGGATTTGCAAAATCCGAATCTCTAATATTAATCAAAACTCGGATTTCAGAAATTCGAACAATATTTCTGTCCACAAATATTCTGAAAAATTTAAATTTGTCCACGTTTATTTTATTTAATTTTTTTTGGGAAAAGCCCCCTAAATCATGTTTCAAGTTCCTACCCCTAATAAATTCCAAGGGACTAATTTGGAAAATATCATCGGGGGCCCTTGATTTTAACTCTTTCAGTATTTTATTTTTCTCTCTGTTTCTGTAGCCGGCGGAGATGTCGTCGTCGTCGTCCCCCGATCAGCCGCCGCAACCGGCGCTGTTCTCTCTTCCGGCATCCTTCGATCCGGTAAATAATCCTCAACATCAAGCACTCTTAAACCAGATGAACTCTCTAAATGCTAAGTATGAGGATGGAAAGTCTATCAGTGCTTCAGTGAAGAAACACCTCGAAGCCGGCGACTACGAACAAGCTCTTTCCCAATATACCAAACTCGATTCCATCATTAAGGAACTGGTTTCCTTCCAAAAACAGTTGGATAACGAATCCCAGATCTGCACTACTGGGGATTTGGGAGACGTCATAAGGAGATTAATGAATTTCGGACTCAGTCAAGATGGAAGCCCAGGTTCTTGATTGGTTAGTCCAATCATTTTTGTGTTTTTTTTTTATCTCTATGCCAATATCCTTTAGTTTTTTATTTTTTATTTTTTTTTCTAATTTTGTGAAGTCCAGATCGACCGGCAATACCCCCACCGGCTTCCGGCCAACACTGTCTTTTAGTTTGTTTTTGGGGAAGGGGGAGCTATTCTAATTCCTTTTGTCTAGTTTGATTATTTTTTAACAATTTCCAATATGTTTTTGGACCTTTGTAGATTTACTTTATGTAATCATGGTACGTTTCTGGTATTTTGATTCTGATATTAATAATAAACTCAGTATGCATACATTTGAAGTTTGTGGTTGCATTTTTGGCAATAACTGGTATCACTTTGTTCATTAGTACTGTTTCTGTGCCTTAGTCTGGTTATTCTTGCCTCAGTTTCATGCTTGATTGGTATTGATATATGAGGAATTGTTTTGGCCAGTTACTTACTACATAAATTAAGCTTTAAACAGTTTATCTCCATCTCAATAATTAGGACTTAGATTTCACCTGTCACAAATATGTACTCCGCCATCCCAAAATCATTGTCCAGTCTGGATTTTTCATTTTTAGTTTAATCCAAAGTAAACAATAATTTCGGAACACAGGGAGTAGTTCTTTTTGTCACAATTACATTCTCGCTTCTTATCAGCGGCTTCTTGATGTATTCAGAGTTTACAACTTTTGGTCTGTTTGCTGACTCAAGTTCATAAATGCTGTTCTACTGAGTATGCAAGCATATTGGAGCTATACTCTTATATTCCCTCTTAGTGTAACAAATCTAGTGAACAGAACCTGCAAAGAGTTTTTTGTGGGGGGTAAAGAATCTGGGAGAGGAAGTCAGAAGGATGACGAGTATAAGATATGCTAAAGTGTCTAATGAAGAAGCTAAAGCAAAATTTGGTGGCTGGCTTTGTAGGACTGTCTTCAGGTCAAATCACTCAAATGTGCTTAAGAAAGCCTGATATGGCCTCATACTTAAAAAAGCTTGGTATTTTCTGTTTAGCTTAAGGGGGATACTAGCTGACAACAATGTATATGATTGCAGAAAATAAGGGATGAAGATGGGGGGCTGGATTTCAGGGGATCTAAATGGCTGAATGGGACTCATGGAGTGTATTATATTGTTTCTGGGTTTGAATGGCTTGTTGGCACAGAAATGAAACTGCAAGCAGTTGGATTTATATGGTCTGAGACAAAACATTACTGATGGAAAGAAGAATTTGGTCCGAGGACAGAATGCCGCACCCTGTATGCTGGCTGTGTGAAGAACGGAAATGAAACATTGTTGCATCAATTGTTCTTCGACTGCCAGCATGCCGCTACAACACTGAACAAGATTAAAAGCCTGGTTAGAGAATTCTAAACTCTCAACCCAAATGAGAAGGTGGCAGCAGGAGGTCGTTAAAATATAGAGAAGTACGATTGATACTCCAGTGGAGAATACTTAGGGTGGCTTTCATGGTGTGTTTGTATCACCTGTGGGGAGTGCGTAACCAACGTATGTTAATTTGCTGGAAAGAAAAAGGAACTGTTGATGTGATAGTGTCTTCAAGGAAATGCTGATCTTGAAGACACTTTTCCCTTGAACTTATTAATTTGTCTTGTTTTTGTTTAGTTTTACATGTGAACTTATTAGTGACATATTTACAGCAGCTGCTTCCTTTCCTTTCCTTTCCTTTTTTGCGGATGGAAGAAACTTTGAACTTTTACTCCAGATTAACAATGTGCACACAATATCTCATACTGATAATACCTATTTACAAGTAAAGTATATATGCTTTATTAGGGAAAAAAAAACAAATAATCCAAAGACAAGTTCTGAGATTACTTTACAGAATAAGGGCCATTGAATTGCTTATAAAACATCCACAGAATCATCAGGATTTGGCTATACCTATCATTCATTTAATGACATCGTTCAGCAGTGAAAAATTTGAAGAATCAAGCAACTTGGTACGATCTCAATCATGTTTATATTAATTGGTTATATTGCTTCTTTCAAAGAAGATTTCTCTTTGCGAGTTCCAAGTCCGATACTTTCCTCAAAACACTTTCGAGGGTGATATCAAAAGCATCTTTCACATTCCCAAAATCCTCCTCATGACTATTTGATGATGAATCTGCATACACAATCTTTGGGAGAAGATCAATGACAGTTTCCCTCATTTTCCTAATTTCTACTTCACTAAAGCTCTCAAGCTTATCCTTAATGGAAACCCTACCCTCACTCACATTCTTATGCTCTATAAACACTGAATAACTCTCAGCATTTAGAGGCAAATGCCACTCATACTGACCCTTGAAGCTTTTCTCCCAAAAGAACACCGGAATTGAACCCGCCACCATACAATCAATGACTGATCTCCTAGTGTAACCATCCCCTCTTGGCTGCAAACAAAAATCTGAATCCAGGAATGCTTCCAAAATCGCCGGCGCCCCATCCAGGCATTCTGTCACTGAGCAATCCACCAGTTTACATGGCCTTGATCCAGATTGATGGCTCTTGCAATAATCCATTAGTAAACCTCTGAAGTCATTCTTGATGTTCTTCCGCGTCGCGCCCACAAAGGTAAACATGCTGTTACGTTTCCTAGCTCGAATGTACCTGTAGTTAAATTTCAATTTTTTCGTCGACAAGGGGTCAAAAAAAAAAAAAAAGATGCTGACCAATAAAGAGATTAGGTTATCTAGTGATAAATATTGCACCTCTGCCAGGCTATGATGTCGAATTTTGATCTAGGGTGGAATCCAGTCGGCCACGGAACGCTAAACTCCAGCTCGTCCCATGGATTTCTTTCAACAGTGAGCTTCAAGACGTGTTTCATCAACGGCATGTTGACAAAACTCGAGCCCCATTCGGAATCTTTATCCACCAGCCTCCGGAATGCCCACGTCAATCTTCCCAACATGAGGAAATGATCCGCCCCGTTACGCTTTTTCCAGGAAGGCTGATCTCGAAGCCAATCCAACACCATTTCGCATGGCCGGTCCCGGTCTTTCCAAGTGTAGTTTAACCATAAGTACTTTTCGATCGCCAGGCCGGCGTAAAATGGCACGTAAAATGCGGCAGCCTCGTTAGGGTTGCGCGTTCGGCACTTGTAATTCAACATCCTGGCATGATAAATAACCTCGCCAGTGTACAAGTCGGTCCAGTACCAGGCCGGGATGAGGTGCGCCGGTACAACTCCGTTAAGGTTAGTGGCTTTCGGGCCAAAACCGGCATTGGAAACCGCAGCGCACCGGGATTTCCAAGGGTGCAAGTCATGGCATTTCTCCAGGAGGGCTTTGTTGAATCCTGGAGGTAGATCATACATGAAGACCATGCCATTTGGGCATGTTTTTCTGACCCTGAAACTCGGAAGGAAGGTCTGGTTCGAATCTCGGATCAAGAACAGGATGATCAAGGCTTGGATTAGGATGGCTATGACAAGCCAAGCGGATTGGGATTTGATGGAATTGATGAATGAGTACTTCTTTGGGAGGATGATCAAGAATGCATTTGGTTTTTCTTCCTCGGAAGGAGGAAGAGACTGTTGATAGTTAGCAGAATTTTTGGGAAGCATCCGATTTCTTTTTTAAAAAAAAGAAAAACAAACAATTAAAGATCGATCATGTCTTTCAATTTTCAGTATATTACAATAAGTTAAATGAAGTTTAGATTATTTTTTTTGGAAAAAAAAAAATTGTGTGAAGACAATGAAATGGTCAGCCTTAATTCAGGCAAGAAGGTAGACTATATGATGTTGAATTATTCTCACGTCCATAACGTAGATCTTTCTAATTTTTGCAAGAAAATAGAAAGGAAAGACAAAGAAATCTAATTATCCGATTTAATTACAAAACGTTTTCACGAGAAAGCTCGAATCCAAGTACATAATGTGAAAATGAAATCTAGGGATCGCCTCCTGTACTTTATTAAATAACGTAACTAATCCAGCCAATAATAATTAAACTAAACGATCATTATTGGATTAGTTTTAGGCTCTGTTTGGTTGTCAAGAATTGGAGGTTTGGCTGATAAAAATATATGTACCGGATTGGAATTACAATTATATATAGGCTCCGTTCGTTTGCATGGCATTTGGGGGCTTGGATTTCGAATTTGGCCCCCCCAATGCCTAATTCGGTATTCGACTATCCAAAAATACGATGGCATTCCAATGCGCATTGGAAGGCTTCCATGCCATGATTTCAATTCCGGGCTTGAAGCTATTATTTGGGATTCCAAACTCTCATGGAGTTGAACAGTACGGTGGTTATTATCGGGTTAATACCGGGTTATAAGCTATCCGGATCTCCCCCGCCTTTTAAAGATTTTTACGGCTTAATTTCTTTTCTTTTTTTTCTCCTCTCATCGACGAGAGTCACGAGACTCTGACGGACGACTTCTCCATCTCGACTGCGGCGCAACCATTTTTCTCCGACTCCCTACTTTTTTCCTTCTTCTTCATCATTCTGCAGCGACCAACTTGTATGTGTTCCTCTTCTCCTTTTTATTTTCTTCGTTTCGAATTTTGAATTCCGATGATTTGAGGATAGATTAGGTTTTCATATAGATCTAAGCAAAAGATCTTTGATTCAATTCATTTTTACAGGAGATGTTGTCAAAATTATTGAATTTTCCTACCGGTTCTTTGATTTTTCTGTTTGATATTATTCTTATGTTGGGACTTTTTTTATAAAAAAAAATGTCTGGATCTGCTTGAAGTTCTGTTGGAGTTGTAGGACAGATCTGATTGTTGTTTTTAGAGGCTAATGAGTCTAAACAAAGTATTAATTTAATCAGTTAATCAGAACCCACATATATCAATAGCCCCTTTAAAGTTTAAACTCCTCCCCCTCCCTTTAACTTGGATTCGATGTGATTCCATTGTGGGTAAGGGAGGAAAAACATCAAAATATGTATATACATCGGAGTTGTTGCGTATATTTTTTGAGTAGGGAACTAAGAAAAATAGAAAAAGGGAGGAGATCTTCAAGTTGGATTTTAGCCAAAGCATATACAATGTTAAAGAAATCTTCATTTTCTGGTCATCTGTTTGTGGAATTTTGTTTCAAAATAGATAGGTTAAAAGCTCAAAATCTCCAAAATACGAAGGTTTAATCTGCAAAAAAAAAATTGGCCGCGAATCTCTCTATAATGTCCCTTGTTTCAATGTATCTCTGGTCTGCAATACTCTGTATCTCACTGTTTGCTGCTTTGCTAAGAGAAGGAGTTTTCAGTGTGCCTATTTGTCAAAGACTTGTTGTTACTAAATCCAGTTTCATCACTATTATTATGATGAGACGCAGGGGTTTTAGATGATGTGTTTTGTTCCATTTGTTTTGGTCATTTGATTGGGTTGCTTGATTGTTGTACTTTGAACTAATTTTTTATTGGTCTTCATCATAGAGTAATTATTGAATTCAGATCAAGTACAGGAATTTATTTTTTCCCTTTTATTGTTACAGGGAATAAAATCTGAATTTGAGGTGAATGAAAGTTGAACTTCCTGTTTGAGGTGAATTATTGATTTCTGATTTGCTTCTTGTTTTAGCTTAACCGTTTGGATTTCCAATTCAGGCTTCTTGTTAACCAGTAATTATGTTGTTTTGGAGCTAAAAGTACATGCTACTACTACTATCATGTGTTTCCATTTAATAATTCATTGTTTTTCTGGCTAGGGAGCTTTTAGAGCTCAAAAGACACCAATACTTTGGTATTTAACAATCAGACTTTTCTGTAGTAGATAAGATACTTTGGTTTCTGTAGTGAAGTAAGGAAATTTAAGATCTTAGTTGGCTAGGATCATATCATGGTAAGAGTTGTTTAGTGTACTTGTTCATTGTTCTTATTTTTTTGAGGTTTAGGAGGATTTTATAGAAAGTATCTTAGTTGACAAGCAAGCTCTTAAGTGAAAGAAAAAGGAAAAGGAAAATATATCACTTGGACTCATTTTTATTTTGGGGTTTGTGTCCTTTTTTTCCTCTCTCATTGCAGCTGTTGCATTGATTTTACCTCTCTTTTTCCTCTGTCAGTTGTATGGATATCCTTTTTATTATAGATTTTACCAAGAGTTGATCATAGATCCTTATCTCTTAACTTCCTCTTTCTGGGTATGTTAAAATTAAATGTGGTTGTGGTGGCAAAAAAAAATAGAGTAGGAAAGCTCTTTTCCTTTTCTGCAAATCAGTGCACTACCTAATAAGCTTTAGCATATACACAGTTTGAATGAAATATAACTTTAGTTTGTTTCCCAGTTGATAGCTTCTTATTATTTTATTGTGCAAAAGTATTATGTTTTACAATTGTTTTCCTAGTAATTCATGATATATGATATGTATAGTTGATGCTCGATACTTGATGGTTATTTAGACATTGTAGTCGTGTGCTATTTTTTTCCCTTTCTGACTCAACTATTGTGTTGGCCTAGAAGTACAGCTGAAAAGAAGAGATTTTTTGGTGAAGGTCAACAAAATGGTACTTTGAATGCTGTAGAAATTGACGGCAATTCTGGCTAAGTTGTAAGTTGGTGTAGCCAGTTCATTTTTTTTTCACTCCGTGAAACTATGATCTGCAATGTGAATGCAGACTACATTATGCCTAGAAAATGCTTAAAATTAACCTTGTTTTGGTCTTTCCATAGTTAAACAATCTTCTTAGGCCCATTTGAGAATTAGGAATATCAACACTCAATGCAAAGACCGGTAGTTTTTGTATGAAATCACCAGTAACTTTTATGACCCAAATTTTGAGGTTCGTCAGAAAGTACGGTCTTAACTGTGGCTCCAACCTTGACTTTTGTGATTCTTCTTTCAAAATTTTAAGCAAAGAATAAGTTTATAGGAGGGAGAATGGCATAAACACTTGTGTGGCCTTCAATTTGTTGACTTCGGTTTCTGTATAGGGTAGAGTGAAGCATTTCATGAATATTGAAGCAAAAACTTCCTGCAATGTGGCTCCATAAAGCTTAGTGAATAAGTTCACCTTACTATTTATGCTAATATTCTGTGGAGTGCATCTCCCCTTAGTTTTTTGATGAGTGTAAGATCTTGTGAGTAGACATCCAAACTTAAAGCCGCTATTGTCCATCTTCTGATTTTCAGTAAAGTTGGTAGAGTTTTTAAGTTTATCTTTTTCTTTCTTTGTCTTGGCTTGAGGAATTAACCAGAATGCTTCTCTTTCGCAATTTTACTACTGCTAACACAAGGCTCATCTGCACCAGCATGCTCTCAAATACATCTTTTAGCTTGCGAATCTTCTAATTTGCCAAGCAATATTTGTTTTGGAAGCTGGTGCTTTACTTATTTGAACAAGAAATATTAAGTGTGTCCTTGCTTTTTCTTTCAGGCTGGCTACCATTATTAGAGGAAATTGTGTTGAGATATTAAACATCAATTCAAGGTAACGTGTCCTTTGCCTCTATTATAATGTCTTAATGAAATCATGGTTTCTGTCTTTGCTTGTCATAATTTGTCTCCATCATGGGTTCGACTTTGATACCATATATATTAAACCAGTTTTCCTTATCTAGTGAAAATGAAATGGAAACTATACTCTTTGCATGAATTGACTTGGGAGACAACTGACTACTCTTATTCTTACGACTTGTTTATGTGTTATGAGTATGAACAATATAACTATGTAAGTAGAATGTGTTATCCTCTGAAGTATTTTTTTAAGTGTATCAAATGTCATACTGACCATTAGAATCATGCTATAGCATTCCACATTGCAGCTATTGCATTGATTTTACCTCTCTTTTTCCTCTCTAGGTAATCTTTTCCCTTGCATCAAAAGATTCTTGAACTTCTAAACTTGGGCACTAGTAGACGCAAAACTGAGAGGGCTGAAACTAACGAAACTTCATCTTGGTCAGTAATATATGTTTTATTTATGTTTGGCTCAATTAGTGAGTTACTAGAGCTTTCAAGAAGAAACATAAAATCTGATTTATAGAAGTGTTTCAGAGTTCAAAAACTGACGTTGAATGTTGGTTGTTATACTCAGACTTTAATTACATTACGAATTCAGTTTTTTAGTGTACTTGTTAAGTGTTCTTATTTTTTTAGGTTTAGGAGGACTTTACAGATGGCTTCTAATTCACAAGCAAGCTCTCAAGTGAAAGAAAAAGCAAAAGGAAACTATTTCTCTTGGACTCTCGAGCTGGATAAGGTTCTTGGGACATGTCTTATAGGTCAAATGGCTCAAGGAAACAAATGTGATGGGAAATTAGCTTGGAAGTCCTCCTCATGGACAGCAGTTATGAAGGCACTTTATGTTCATTAGAAAGTTAATGTAGACAAGAGCAAAGTCCAATCTCCTTTGAAGACATGGGCGAAGCACCATGAGATCTTGTATCCATTATTGGTCTCCAGCAATTCCGGCTCTCCAATCACATTTCACTACGTGAAGGGCTGAATTACAATCCACGATGAAAATGTTTGGAATGAGCGACTGCATGTATTTTTTCCTCCCATTTATGCATTTTTTGTGATGTAAATATGTGTCCAAAAGGATGATTTAGATTGTCGTTCATACAGGGACATATTACCATTGTTAATTTGTTATTTTGTATATTCCTAAAATTATACATTAAATTCTTATCTTTAACAAATCATTATGTTCTTTGTTGTGTTTTATTTTCATCACTCTTATAGTAATACATCATTAACCTTATTTTGCATTAGAGGGTTTAAAATGTATTTACTTCTCTGTATCGATGTGTAATTTTTTTTTATATAGGCCAATCCCCAACTTGCTCCTTATAGGAGTAAAATTGTGATTGAAAATTGGGATGATATTTGTGCAATTTTCTCGCAAGACCGCGCCGATGGCCAAGGGGCAGCAAATTTTGAAGAATATAATGTTGATAATGAGGTCAACTCTTTCAACATAGGAGATCCATAGAGATTCATAATCAATCCGAAGCTATGAGACTTTTGTTGGCCCGGCAAAAGTGAAAGGAAGGCACATCTTCTGCTTGTTCTCAAGGCTCGAGAAAAAAACCAACATCAACGCAAACTCCTGATTATATGATGCAAATGGCTGCTGAGTTTAGTGACTACATGTTGTGGGAAAGAAAAAAGACTGAACTTGTGATTGCACAAAAAACAAAGATCACCCTTTAACAAATTTTGTGAGAACTGAAGGAAATTGATTTGGATAACATGCAGAAAATCAAGGCTGTGGATATGATGATGGTCAATCGAGTTATGTTTAATACATTTGTGGGATTGCCAGTTGAGTTGAAATACAAATGGCTTATGGCCAAACTTGACAAAGAAAACTGATTGTTCAGGTAATATTCTTTCACCTTTTTTTGTTGATCCAATCTGAGTTACTGCATTTTACAGCATCATTTCAATACATTCCACCTTATCTTTCTTTCAAGTGAAAGAAATAGCTTCAGGATCTCTGTTGCTCTTAAGGCTGAGAATGTTTCTGATTTGCAGGAGATTTTGTGCTGCACGGTGCTCTTTGAGTGTGTTTATAAGGTTTGATCCTTAAATTCTTTTATGTCTGCTGGTTTTGGATTTTTTGCTAAAATCATGTTCTGTCCTTGCCAGCTAGTTATGTTTTGTTGAAAACTAATTAAGATTGCTTTCCTTGTGAAAATGAATTACTTGAAGTAAGCAGGATGGCAACTTGGTTTTTGTGCGTGATGTGCTTTACTCTTTATTATATGTGTACTCAAAAGTGATCAAAGTAAATAAAGTCCCCTTCAATTTCTGCACATTTAATTTTAGTCTTGTGCTTAGTCTTCTGCTAAGCCAAAGATTAGGCCCTCTTTTGCTTTTCATTTAGAGCAGAGTGTGTTGATGTGTTCTTTTTTACCCAGAGGACGTCCTTCCACCATTATTATGTTATGGCTCAACACTTTGTGATGTGTAGCCTTATTATATTTTGGCTTAATAGTTAATCGGTAATATGCTTAACACTTTGTGATGTGTGGCCATAATTTTAAGTTGAATACGAAGTTTTGCTATTTGTGGGCCGTTTTGGTAATAACTTATTGCACTTATGTTGTGGGTGGCGGGTACATGAATATTTTTGGTTGTGCATTGGAGCTGTAAGATGATTTGGACAAATGTTACAAGGATTGCCAGGGAAACCATTCCTTAGAATGTTTTACAATTTAAAAGAGTAGATGTAGGTGTCGTGTCCATTTTATCTCATGAAGTAGAAATATTTCTAGACTTTAAACATTGCCATAAATATTTCAAGCAATTTTTGTTTTATACATTGGTGGTTACCTGTTATCTTCTAATCTGAAGTAATCATTGAAAATTGAGTTAGCAATAGCCTTAGTTGCTTTTCCAGGTCGATTGAGACCTCAGTTGACTACATCTTGGCTGCTTGAAAGTGTCACAGGTCGATTAGGGCTTAAGGTTCAATTGTGGTTCATGGAGGGATATTACATTTGTCTATTTCAGAATTTATCAAGGTAAGCTTAAGCTAGTTTGATAGTTTGATGAATTCTGTAAAAGCCGCCTTCATTCTGATCTTGTAAACTAGGAATGTTTGAATCTATTGTTTTGCATTATGATCTTGTTTACTTTTCTGCTTAAAAGATTGGGACTCTTCCATTAACATCATTTGACCGATAATGGCATTTTGTTTCAAAATTCACCTTTTCCAGAAATGACACAATTTTACTTAACAAAAATTAAAAGTTGTAGTAATTTCAAAATAAACCAATTTTTTCTTTTTTTAAAAAAAAATTAGCGAAAGCCAAAACCAACCAATTACTTGACCATCTGAACAAAGAATTTGGAATTCTAATTGAATTTGTGGCCAATTCTTTGATTTTACCGAACAGATGAACATTGAATTAGAATATCTTGAATGCCAATTGAATCCCAAAATATTCTAATGCCAATGTAATTCCAACGTAAACGACCGAACACACCCTTAGGGTTCAATTCTTTTTTCAATTCTTTTGTGGAGGGTAATAATTGCAATTCAGATTCTTTAACTTTAATAAAATCTCGCGGGTCAACATAAGGGTCAAAAACGGGTTATGAAAAAACGGGTCATTATGGAGGTTGTAATGATAATTCCGGCGCGTGCTACCACGCTCCACAAAAGGAAACCCATTTCGGGACATTCCCAAGTCCCCACGCGCAACACTCCTCTTTTAATTTTGTTTTTTTAAAAAAAAAATTAATTTTATTTTTTAAAATCTTTTCCCATATTTTTATTTGGCTACATTCAAATATTTTATGTTTTTTTTCTTTTTTTTTATAAAAACAATCCACCCAGTGGACTCCACTTAAATGTGGATAAAATCCCCCTTACAACCTCTGGTGGGAATCGAACCCTAATTTATCACCAGGAAAGACATCAACCTAACCACTAGGCTGTCATTCAATACCCAGTTTTTTTTTTCTTTTTTTGCTTAGAAAGTAATTTATTTTTTTATCATCAAAATAGAACATAAAACTTACAAAAAATGACTAGACCCTTATATTTGGAAAAATTATGTTTTGTCAATATTTTCAAAATATATCCATACTAAAAGATATAGGTAAAGGTATAATTAATTATTTTAATTGATCAATTTAGTAAGGTAAAAATTATCATACCAAGTACAAACTAATAATAAATACACTTATACATTGAATATAAGATTTGATATTATATACTAGAAAATTATTAGCAAATACAAATTAATTTCAAACTATAATCCTATAAATAAATGAGCATTAATATGCATAAACTGAATTTTATATTATATATATTTTTTAATAAAAAATAAGAAAAAATAAAAAATTGTACTTGAAAATTTATAAAATGGAGAGAAATATGGATGTTGTATTTGTTACTTGTTTATGTAATGAGTGAATACTTTAATTATTATATTAATAATTCTTTTGCAATAAAAAAATGGTTCTCCATAAGTATGTATCTACTTGATAAATCATAACATTGATATAACAAATTAAACAAAAAATTATTTTTTATAAAAAAGTAAAAATTGAATTAGTTAAACAAAAAAAAGTAATTCTAATATACATGTTCATTATGATTTTTTTGTTTTATATATGCATAATACTGTATTAATTACTTTGGGATAAGAAAATTAAATTATTTTTTCTATTTTTGAATGAATTAAATTGTATTTTTTAGTTTAATATAACAAACTAATCCCAGTTCTAATGTATCTAAACCTTAATTCTACTCAATTTTTAAGATCTTCCAAACAAAGAAATTAGGATTGAAACACAATCTCAATATCTCACTTTCAATTCAATACTATTGTAGTTTCAATTCAATTACAATTCAATCCAACCAAACGGAGCCTTAGGAAATTTTGTAGGATTGCATATCCAAAACCTAGATTGCCTAATATTGATATATTCTTTTGCCTAATACTTTAATTACAAAACCTAAAAGTAAAAGGATTAGTTTTGTTTCTATATATTTTTGTACGTCGGAGTCGGACGACCCTATTCTTCTCTATATAAAGAGGAGGCAGTGCAGATACGTATATCAACTTTCTGTTAACTCTCTATAATATTCATTCAAATTAAATTTTAACACACGGTCACGCACTTAATTTCTTTCCCTCTACGATTCATATAATTGAATACCATCAGTAGCGATTCTGGCATGGCTTCTCCCACCATGAACAACAACAACAACAACAACAAAAATCAGGAAGTGGTGGAGAGGGAAAGGTCGCGGTCTCCTCCCTCAGGGCGCACTTCAACTTCAACCTGTAGTAACAGTAGCAAGCAGAAATGTTGCATCTGTTTATCATGGATAGAACAAGGAGCCGGTCAGGCAATATTCACGGCTGGATGTTCTCACACGTTTCACTTTCCTTGTATTGCTTCCAATGTGAGCCATGGAAACCAAACTTGTCCTGTTTGCAGAGCACAATGGTCCGAGGTCCCGGCCAATCGGCTCCCAAGTCCTCCGCGGGTTCCTCCACCAATTAACCGTCCTTGGCACCACCACCACCGCCACCAGAATTATTTCACGTATCGTCGTCCTCCGCCACTTTATGCCACACCTTATGGTTATGATGACCAAGATTTTCAGCAGGCACTACTTGATGAGCCACATGTCTTCGATGATGACGAGTCTTTGGATCATCATCATCAATCTCCTGAGGAAAACTACTCCAAAAATCAACCGGGCGAAACCATACTGAAAGTGAAAACATTCCCCGAGGTGGCGGCAGTCTCGCGCTCCAGCTCCCCGGATAACTTCACCGTGTTGATAAATCTTAGAGCTCCTTCCCTCACGACATCCACAGACCACCAGGATTCCAAAGAATCGTCACCCTCATCTCGCGTACCTATTGATCTTGTTACGGTTGTTGATGTAAGTGGCAGCATGGAAGGTGCCAATCTTGCATTGCTAAAGCAGGCCATGGAGTTTCTGATCCAAAACCTTGGTCCCAACGACAGGCTCTCCGTCATTGCCTTCTCGCACACAGCGCGACGCGTATTTCCACTCCGTAAGATGAATGAATCAGGAAGAGAGCAAGCACTGGAATCTGTCAACCTCTTAGTGGCAGACGGGGGAACCAACATAGCTCTAGGACTGAGTAAGGGCGCCAAGGTGTTGGAAGATCGCAGATACAAGAATTCCGTTGCCAGTATTATCTTGTTATCTGATGGACAAGATAATTATGGTTTCAGCACCGCAAACTACCCATCCCTTCTTCCACAGTCAATCACCAACAACAATGGAAATGATGGTTCTAATAATTTAAAGATCCCGGTGCATACTTTTGGGTTTGGAGAAAATCATGATGCTTCATTGATGCACTCGATTGCGGAGATGTCCCGAGGAACCTTTTCTTTCATTCAGGACAGAGCCGTGATCCAGGATGCATTTGCACAGTGCATTGGTGGGCTTCTGAGCGTTGTGGTGAAGGAGCTTCAGGTGAATATACAGTGTGTTGATCCAAGAGTCAGCATTACTTGTTTAAAATCTGGAAGTTACCCGAATCAAGTGACTCCTGACGGACGAATGGGGAATATTGATGTTGGGTACTTGTACGCTGATGAGGAAAAGGATTTTCTGGTACTAGTGAAAGTACCAACAGAAGAAATTTCAGGCCCTGCTGAAGAAACTGCATTGTTGAAGGTGAGATGTGTTTACAATGAGCCTGCCGCTTCAACGTCGTCCGCAGATAAATTAGTGACGGTAATGAGTGAAGAAGTTAAGATCAGGAGACCTGAAGTAGCTGGAAACCAAGAAGTTTGTGTTGAGGTGGACAGGCAACAGAACCGGATACAAGCAACGGAGGCGATGGCGCTGGCGCGAGAGGCAGCCGAGAGAGGTGACTTGTCAGGTGCTGCATCAATCCTTGAAAACTGCCAGAAGAAGCTGTCAGAAAGTTCATCAGCAAAGAGTCATGATATCCTGTGCCAGGTACTTGAAGCTGAACTGAAGGAAATGAGAAAGAGAGTGGCCAACCGAAATTCATACGAGGCCACAGGAAGGGCCTATATGCTTTCTGCAATGAGCTCGCAGTCAAGGCAGCGACCGGTAGCATCCGGTTTAAGCTTCGACGCCGGGGCTTTTTCGGGTTCAGCCGCCCCTTGTGGATCAGCAGCTGCTTATCACGCCTATCAAACCCCTACAATCACCGGCATGGTTGCTCGATCAAGGGCTAGAAACTCAAGCAAGGGCCCTTATTGATCCCAGCTAGTTAGCATTTTTAGTTCTATTCTTAATTAGTAGTTCTTTTTTCGGGCGATGTTACTCAATTCTAATCTTAATTATACTAGGCTTCATGTATTGTACGTGAGTGGAGTGGGGTTTTTTTTTTTTTTATATGACGCACCTGGTGTCCGAAGCGATTGCTTGGACTTCGTGAGAAAATGAGTGGAGTGACTTTAATGATAGGATTTGGATCTTTTGTTTTCCTTTTTGGTGTGTCATCCAGTCATGACTGATTCCAGCTTTTGTTATAAAGTTGTTATTTTAAAAATAAATAAATAAATAAAGTATTGAAGTTACTCTTATTGATTTATTTTTATTCAAGTAATGGTTTACCAATTGGCCAGGGTGATCTTCTATTCTTGTTCATGCTTGGAAAGAAAAATGATTGGGATAGTGAAAAATAAATATTGACCGAAGCATATTCATTTTCTTACAAATATTGATATATACAGAGAAAATTTATAAGAAAGTGTATAAGAAAATGAATCACAACCGGTTCATACTTCATATAGTAAAAATTTACCTTTACGGATTTATTGCTACTTTCCATAAAAGATTTTTTTTCCTTAAATTTATATTTTTACCCATGATTATTATGTATTCACGAATCACAATAAATTCTCACTATTCAGTAAAAACTCTTTAAATTAATACTCTATAAATTAATAAATTATATTAAATAATAAATATTTTTGGTCCTAACTCGAGATCAGTACAAAAATCAAATAAAATCAATAAATTAATCAGATAATAAATTTTCAGAAAATTCTTATATAAATATAGGTCCCTAAAAATCATAAATTAAGAATGATCTAAAATATTATAATAATTAAGAATGTTTAAGATAATAGGAGGCTATTGAGTTTTATTTTCTCATGAGATTTACATATAAGAAAATTTTATCTTTGATTTTTCCTTCGAACAGAAAATAAAAAAATAATAGATACATAGTAAGAAACTGAAGTTGAAATTGAGTATTTGTTTCTTAATAGACTATTTGAAATCGCACTTAACATTCGAAATATTTCATCAATGTTAATTATATAGAAAACATTTCAATATTTGTATGAATGATGATTCAGTAAATGTACTGTTTATTTACTAATAAAATAATACCTATGTGTAACTAAAATTTTGAGTTTTGCGTGAACAGATAATATGATTAAAAATGACACAAGTTGTCATCATATTTTAAAATAGTAAAAGACAAATAGTAATAAAGCAATGATAACAACACTATACATTATGAAGGACTTCTAAACTATATTTGTCGTGCGAGGTGTAGATTTCACTATCCTCGTTACAAAATAAGGATTTTAAGACCTTTTCTGGACTTCACTGTAGAAAGGTTTTTAGCCTCTGATAGGTTAAAAATATGCAATTCTTTTGAGTGCTATTTTAGTATTTCAGGCGACTCGTTGATCAGGAAAAAAAAAACCAAGAACTACTTGTCCAAAGAGAAATTCTTCAGGAGTGTCATCTAATTATGAAAGGGCCACCTTCCGACGGGTCTCATTCAATCTTCATTTTCATCTTTACCAGCATGTCGTTCTACATCGTCTTGTTTAAAAAGGTCTGAGTCTTTAGTAGGTTAAAAACATGCAATGATATTGGCTGCTATTTTAGTCTTTTTGGCGGCCCGTTGAACAAACAAAAAAAAAAGAAGAAAGAAAAAGAAAAAGAATCATTCCATATTCATTTTCATTTTTAATAGCATGATACTCTGCGCCATTCTTCTTAAGAAGTTTTGAGTCTTTTTAGTAGGTTAAAAACCTGCAATGATTGTGGCTGGTATTTAAATATTTTTGACAGTCTGTTAAAAAATAAATAAGAAAAAAAAATTGGCAGGTCTCATTCCATCTTCATTTTTATCTTTAACAATATATCACTTTGTAACGTTCTGCTATAAAAGTTTTAAATTTTTTGGTAGGTTAGAAACCTGCAAAGATGTTAGCTGATGAAGGTCCCACCAATTGCAACATATGGAAAAAAATTTCATCGGATAATTCAATCTGTAATACTTAAAAACACGTACATATATATATATATATATATATATATATATATATATATATAAAAGCAATCATCATCAACTCCTAGAGTGCGGGAGCTTCCTCCTCCTCCGCAGTTTCCCGGTGGGCTTCCTCCTCCATCTTGCAGGCTTCGAAGACTTCAAGCCACCGAGTCAACCTCCAAATCAAGGTCGCATGATTTTAACTCGCAGATTCTATGAAAGATTTCCCCACAACTCTTTCTAATTAAAGAGAATTCTGAAAAAAGTTTCTCACCTCAACTTAAAATCTCCAAAAAAGAAAAAGTGAGGTTTGTTAATTTTATCTTTTCGTTAAAGTTCTGATCGCCTATTTGCCTTCCATTCAAGTTTTGATTTTATTTTATTCCGGATTGTTATCTACTCTCTATGTCCTAAAATGATTGCGCAGTTTGTTATGTTACAAATAATATTAGAAAAACTAGACAATTTTTTTTTGCGGGATAATCATTTGTTTTGTACATGCTATTAAGATTCAACTTCTTTTTGCTTCATCTTTCTCATCATCTGACTGAATAGTTTTGGGTGCAGTTAATTCCTCCACACATGGATCGCCCCTCTTTACGGGCTTCTCAGTCAGCTTTCTTCAATGATGATGAGTATTTGGATCATCAATCTTCCTCTCCTGATCAGAGAAACTCCAAAAATGAAGCCGTAGGAACCTTGCAAGTGAACTCATACACAGAAGTTTCGGCAATCTCACGCTTCCATGCTCCTGATAACTTCACTATATTGATAAATCTCAAGGCTCCTCCACCTCCAACTTCCCCTAACATGGACGATCCAACCCAAGTTCCTCAATCATCTCGCGTACCTATTGATCTTGTTACGGTTCTTGATGTAAGTTACAGCATAGAAGGTAGGAAGATTGCATTGTTAAAGCAGGCTATGGATTTTTTTATACAAAACCTTGGTCCCAACGACAGGCTCTCCGTCATCATCTTTTCTCACAATTGTCGGCGTCTATTCCCACTTCGTAGGATGTCTGAATCAGGAAGGCTACAAGCACTAGGGACTGCCAATGTCTCGAGGATCGTCAACGGTGCTAAGGTGATGAAGATCGCGGGTACAAGAATCCTGTTTCCAGTATTATATTGTTATCTGATGGACAGGATAACAATGTCTCCATGAAACAGCACCTGAGTTACCGAGTACTCGTGCCAGAGTAGATCACCAGAGGAAATAGTTACTCGAATTCTAGGATCCCAGTGCACACTTTTGGGTTTGGAAGAGATCATGATGCATCGTTAATGCATTCGATTGCAGAGATGTCTCGAGGAACCTTTTCTTTCATTGAGACCGAAAGGGTGATCCAAGATGCATTTGCTCAATGCATTGGTGGCCTTTTGAGCGTTGTGGTGAAGGAGCTTCAGGTGAATATAGAGCGTGTTGATTCCAGAGTCTGTATCACTTCCTTGAACAGGAAGTTTTCTGAATCAAGTGACTCCAGATGGACGGATGGGGAATATTGATGTTGGAGACTTGTATGCTGAAGAGGAGAAGGACTTTGTGGTTACAGTAAAAGTTCCAGCGGAAGAGATTTCTAGCAGTGAGTTAGAAACTGCATTGTTGAAGGTGAGATGCGTTAACAATGACCCTTTGACCAAGGAGTTGATGACGGTAAGAAGTGAAGAAGTTAGGATCAGGAGACCTGAAGAAGTAAATAGACAAGAAGATGTATGTGTTGAAGTTGATAGACAACAGAACAGGCTATTAGCAATGGAGGCAATGGAGCTCGCTCGAGCTGCGGCCGAGAAAGGAGATTTGTCCGCTGCAGAATCAATCCTCGAAAAGTGCCTGAAGAAGTTGTCGGAAAGTGTATCAGCTAAGTCGCACGATTTCCTATGCCTTGGACTTGAAGCTGAGCTGAAGGAGATTAAACAGAAGCTGCCCAGCAGAGATGTATACGAGGCATCAGGAAGGGCCTATATGCGGTCTGGACTGAGTTCACACGCATGGCAGAAACCTACCGGAGCTTGTTTAAGCCGCGAATCAGGTGATGCAGATTCTGGTTATGAAGATATGGGTTTTAGCCTTTATGAGGATGATGATGAGAAAAACTATGTTTGTGCTGCTGCTGATCATGATAAAGACATATTTAAAAGTAGCTACAGTGGAGCAGCTGGTAGTCGTCGTCATGCCTATCAAACCCCAACAATAAACAGGATGGTTGCTCGGTCGCGGGCTGCTACTCGGAGAAATAACAAGGGCAAATCAACTCCAGCAAAGGCTTTAGGCACCATTGATGAGAGCAAAGATTCCTCATCCCGTGGTTCCGATCGACCTGGTTACCGTTCTTGACATAAGTGGCAGCATGGAAGGCGCCAAGCTTAATTTGTTGAAGCGGGCGATGAGGTTTGTGATGCAGAACCTTGGTCCCAATGACAGGCTTTCGGTGGTTGTCTTCTCTGACAACTCCCGGCGTCTATTCCCACTTCGTAGGATTTCTGTAACGAGAAACCAAGAAGCCTTGCTAGCTGTGAATCTCTTGAAAACAGAAGGCTGCACAAACATAGGCGATGGCCTGCGTAAGGGCGCCAAGGTGTTGGAAGACCGGAGGTACAAGAATCCGGTCGCCAGTATCATGTTGTTATCTGGTGGCCAAGACAACCAAACTAAGTTCTTCAGTAAGAAACGGCCGGTTTTTTGTTCTGCCATCAATCAGCAGCTCGAAGATCCCGGTGCATACATTCGGGTTTGGGGAAGATCATGACGCTTCACTAATGCACTCAATTGCAGAGATATCCCGGGGAACCTTTTATTTCATTGAGAATGAAAGGGTGTTCCAGGATGCATTTTCTCAGTTGATTGGTGGCCTCCTGAGTGTTGTGGTGAAGGAGCTCCAGGTCAACATTGAGTGTGTTGATCCCAGAGTCGGTATTACTTCTCTAAAAACCGGACGTTACCCGAGTCAAGTTACCCCGGATGGGCGAATGGGGAATATTGACATTGGAGACTTGTATGCGGATGAGGTGAAGGATTATCTGGTCGCAGTTAAAATTCCATCCGAAGTAAATTCGAGCAATGATGAAACTGCATTGTTGAAGGTGAGATGTGTTTACAATGATCTTTTGTCCAAAGAATCCGCTGTCGTGTGACGGTAAGGAGCGATGAAGTTAGGATCAGTAGGCCTGAAGAAGTGGCAGCTGGAGAACAAGAAGTGTGTGTTGAAGTGGATAAGCAGCAGAACAGGCTGCTGGCAGCGGAGGCAATGGCGCTCGCGCGCGAGGCGGCCGAGAAAGGTGACCTGTCAGGCGCAGCATCAATCGTCGAGGACTGCCAGAAGAAGTTGTCGGAGAGTGTATCGGCCAAGGCCAACGACGTGCTGAACGGCGCGCTCGTAGCCGAGTTGAATGGAATGCGAGAGAGAATGGCCAGTAGAGTTCGGTACGAGAAATCAGGGAGGGCAATGTTGTGTTCTGGGATGGATTCACATCTTAGGCAGAGACCGGGAGCAACTTGGTTAGAGGTGAGCGATGATGATGATGATGATGATGATGAAGATATGGATGAATATGGAACTGCATCAGGTGATGAGGCTATGGATATGGATATGGGTTGTAGCTTTGCTGGAGCAGCTCTTCATGCCTATCAAACCCCAAAACTGGCAGGCATGGTTGCTCGGTCTAGAGCTTCACGCAAGAGGCGCAAGGCCAAATCTACTGCTGCCAAGGCTTTAAGCACCATTCCAGAGAGCAAATAAAATGGCTCATTCATTTCATTAGTTTCCCTTGTTTCTTTTTTGGTTTTTGTTTTGGTGAATTTCTAGATGTTGGGTGAACTTTTGGTATTTTAATTGAAAGTATTAGTACATTTTTTTAATTTGGTATTGTGTGGGTTTCATTTTTGAGAGTAATATTTGTGTGCATGGTTTGCCTAGAGGAATAAAATTAAAACTAAAAGAGAGAGAGAATACACTTCAATTTCAATGTTTTGGGACCTTGTTCTGAAATGATTGGATTGGAGAAAAAAAAACTGATTAACATTTAATTTGGGAAAAAATTTAAACTCATAATCATGGAATTGAAAGCTCATCGATCCACCATCAAACCATAGCTCTCATTTTTGGAATTAATACGGCCATTCGTACCAGGTTGGTGATACCTAACAATACATTGATTGAGCCGTAATTATACACATGCTTATTTCTAATTTAAAAGTCTCATTTTCTTTTTGAAATAAACATGCTTCCATCACTTCTTTGGGTAGTGAACTAACGAGTAGTTTGCTTACAACTATAGGCTCGAATTCATCAACGTTATGAAATCGCAATTTTGGAGAACTGTGGGACCTTTTTACCTAGAGGCATGAGACTCATTCCATTATCTTCTTCTTTTAGCACGGGGATTACTGTAAAAGGGGAATGTGGTGGCAGGAGTACAATTAATATCAGTCTTATTCTTGATTCAAAAACAGTAAGAGTAGTACTCCATTCCTCCCATAATTATTGTGCAGTTTGAATTTTTATTTTTAATTCAAATTGTACTAAAAGTGAATTCTCAAACTGGATAATAATTTTGGAACAGAGGGAATAAGCCCCTCGTGGAGGAGGTTTCATTAAGGACACAAATTAGTTAAACCCAGCTGTACAGAGAGAACCAAATTTAGAAATCAAGTAGGGAATTACTACTACATATAGAAGTTAGTGAATATTTTCGAGTTGAATATCTATTTTTCGTATACTATTAGGCGCTAATTAAGGAGAGGGATATTGATATCACAACCAGAATCAACATCAACATCTTTTTAATCCAAGATGAGTATATTTATATTAATAAAAATACTCTAAAAAAAAGTCAATTTGTCTAAAGTAAAACAATACAATAAAAAAAAAAGATTAATATTGCTATATCACTATTAAGCCCAAAAGGACGGGCTAAATGAATCATCATCATCTTTGCTTGTCCATCTCCTCAACAAAATGATAAATTTTTGGGCCTCCCAAATTGTCAATGCAATGCAATAGCATTATACCAACACTGTTAGCCCAAAAATTCAAATGACTTTTCTTTTCCTTTTTTTTTTTTTCTTTTTCTTTTTTTGGCTTTTGTTTGTTTTTGAAACTAAATGGACTAAGTAAAGCTCAGTGGGAAAAGTGATGTGACAAAGAGAGTGTAAGTGGTCAGCCTCTGGTCTTCTTCCAAGTTTGGCTCTCTTCTCCATAAAAGTCACTTTCTTTTGGTTTTTCTCTGTTTTCTTTCTCTCATTTCACATTCCCAGCCTCTGAATCAATCTCTCATTTCCTTCCCATTTATGACAATTCTTCACATGATCACCCCAAATGTTACGCTACCCAACTCCATCATCATAACCATCACCATGCGCTTTTCTCACTCAAAAATCCAGTCTTTCTGTTGGATTCTTTTGTCCTTAATGTAAAAATTATAATAACAAAGGACCCATTTTTTTTAATCACCATCTCTCAAAAATCCCAACTTGCAAACAAGAGAATGGAGTCATCTTTCAGAAGAAGATTGATCAACCTAAGCAGCAGCAACAGAAGCTTCCTGATTCCTCCTTCCATGTTTCTGTTCCTGCTTCTTCCTCTGTTCTGCTTTACCTCCTTCACAGGTCTGTTTTTTATTAAGATGTTGAATCCCATTTTTTTTAATCTTTCCTTTGGAATTGCCTTTAATTTTTCTTGTTATTTTTGGTTACTTTGCAAAAAAAAAAAAAAGAAGAAAGAGATGGTTTGGGTGAATTTTCAAGAAAAAGTTGATAGACCCAATGGTCAGTTGCATGATGTTCTGTGTATATTAAGGAAGAAGATCAGAGAAAGGGGAAAAGGGAAGGGCAAGAACTGGAAAAAGTTGTCTAGAGTAAAGGGCATTTATTTATGTGCTTTTAATTCTCATGCGGTTGCTTTTGGCATTTGGCGATTTTGGTTGTAGTTTTCAAGTTTTCAAAACAATAAGATATTAAAGAAAGTTGGTCTAGAATTTGTCTGAATTGCCTTTGTAGAGCATTAAATTTGTTTGGTTATGGAAATCTAAAACAGGGTCCATTCTAACTCTCTTCAATGAAGTTTTTAGTCCACTTTGCTTATTAGGCTCTGCCCTCTTATGATGCAATTTTATTTTATTTTTTTCACATTTTTTTTATTTTATTGATTTTTCCATTGCTCTTTGAATGTTTTCGATGCAAAGACATTCTTTTTTGGTGTCCGTGATTCTTTCCATGCCACCCTTGTCATTTTACTTTTTACTTTGTTATTGCTGTAGGGATTTTTTAAAAAATTTCTTTTTCAAAAACTTTGATATCCTCCGATGTCAATTTGATCCATCAATTGATATGAGCTGGTTAAATCAATTCGGAATAAAGAAAATTCTTCCGGAAAAGAATTTAAAGGTTTTATGAAATTTGGAAAAGTTTATTAATAATATGTTCGTTCTCTGATGTTGTTGCAGATGCCTATGATGCACTGGATCCCAATGGCAACTTAACCATCAAATGGGATGTCATCTCCTGGAATCCTGATGGCTATACTGTGAGTTCTTTTGCTTGCATTGTTAAATTTTCATAGCAGCTAGTAGCTATTGATCAGAGTTTGAATGATCAATTCTATACTAAATGTAGGGTTGCAAGATTTTTTTGAGCTTTAAACAGCAAACTAGATAAGATCCTTTAGAGTACTAATCATATTTCGAGAAAGCTGCTTTGCTAGCAATTTCATGTGGCTTGAATTCATTTGCTGTTGACGTTGTGAGTTGTGAGAATGATTTTTCAAAATTTTAAGATGTTATGATAACGAATATTGCATCAAATTTGGCCAATGAAATGCCACATGAGCAGCTATGTGTATAGTATAATTTGTAGGTACAAGATTATCTCTCTGTTTGGTTATGAGGCAATAAATTAAGTCCCCAAGGAAAGGGGAAAAGAATTGTTCTTTCTGAATTTGATGAATGCGGTATTTGAGCTCGTTTTTCCTTCATAATCATCAGGCAGTGGTTACCATCTTCAACTTCCAAAAGTACCGGCACATTGAAGCCCCAGGATGGTTGTTAGGTTGGACATGGACTAAAAGAGAAGTGATTTGGAGCATGACAGGTGCTCAGGCAACTGATCAAGGAGATTGTTCAACTTTCAAAGCTAACATCCCTCATTGCTGTAAGAAAACCCCAACCATCGTGGATTTGCTTCCGGGAACTCCTTATAACCAGCAGGTTGCTAATTGCTGCAAAGGCGGAGTCATTAGTTCGATGGTGCAAAATCCAGCCACCGCTCTTAGCTCCTTCCAGATTAATGTTGGTCAAAGTGGAACAAGTAACACAACTGTCAGGCTGCCTAAGAACTTTACTATAGCTACGCCGGGGCCAGGGTACACCTGTGGCCCTGCCAAGATTGTTCCGCCGAGCAAATTCCCTTCTCCGGATAAGAGAAGGGCAACTCAGGCCTTGAGTAAGTTGATTGCTGAGGGAATCTTTGTTTTCATCTTAATCAAAGCACAGCTGTCTTTTCTATCAACTAATATGAACTTGACCTGTACATTCTTGAGCAAGTTGTTTTCCCCAAAATTATGGTCTTGAAAAGGCTGCAGATATAATGTCCATTGCACTAACAAAAGCTTGCTGTTCTGTGGCACAGTGACTTGGAATGTGACTTGCATGTACTCACAGTTCTTGGCTCAAAAGACACCGACGTGCTGCGTCTCACTCTCAGCTTTCTATAACAGCACCATTGTCAACTGCCCAACTTGCAGTTGTGGCTGTAAAGGTAGCAGCATAAGCCAGCCAGGGGATTCAACTTGTGTAGAGTAAGATATCAATCTCTCATCTGCAAACTCTCTACATGTTTTAGTTGTAGTTTTAACCTGTTTGCTGTGCAATCCCACAGTTCCGAATCACGACATTTGGCTTCAGCTCTGTCGAATTCAGACACAAATATTCGTTTTACACCTCCTCTGGTGCAATGTACACACCATATGTGTCCAATCCGTGTGCATTGGCATATTAAAGTTAACTACAAGGAATACTGGAGAGTTAAGATAACAATCACCAACTTCAATTACCGAATGAACTATTCACAGTGGAACCTGGTTGCCCAGCATCCAAATTTTGAGAATCTCACTCAGGTTTTCAGCTTTAATCACGAGTCATTGACGCCTTATCCAACCATAAGTAAGTTCCTCTCGTCTCCTCTTTCATTTTGGCTGTTGATGTGAGCTTAATAGGTATGGCTGTGTCTTACAACTCCATCCTTTTATGCAGATGATACAGGCATGTTTTGGGGCATCAAATACTACAACGATTTGCTAATGCAGGCGGGTCCTTCTGGAAATGTTCAATCGGAGCTTATATTCAAGAAGGACAAGTCAAGTTTCACTTTCAATCAAGGATGGGGTTTCCCTCGAAGAATTTACTTCAACGGGGACCATTGTGTCATGCCATCTCCTGATTTATATCCACATTTGCCTAATGATGCGATTCGCATCACAAGATTTCACCATCACTTACTAAAAGCAGTAACAATGTTGTTAGGTCTGGTGATTGCATTCGGATCAGTCTAGGAAATGTGAGCGAAAAAAAACCTGCACTTTTTGTTCCAGATCATACCAGAAAGGGTGTTAATGAAGATGATGATTTAGATTATTGTACATTTATGTAGTGAGAACGGCTAACAAAACTAGAGTCCTGGTATCTTTTGCATTTCTCTTGCTGCTTGGTGTTCTAGCGAGAGACTTCTAGTTAAGATTTTAGTTCTATGCACCATCTTCCTGTTGGGAAAAAGAAAAACAATAGAACTTGGCAAACTTCAATATATCAAAATACATGAAAGAATGCTTGTTCATTCTGCACACAAAAACTGTCACTCAAATGCTAAATACTGATTAGAGTTACAGTCACAGTAACCACCATGGCAATGATGAATGGAGCTGGAGGCAGTACTCCGAAGGCCGAGTTGGGTAGATAGGGATATGAATCAGGAGGCGGAAGCTTGCACTCATCTCCATTGAAATAAATCTTTCTAGGGAAAGCCCATCCTTGTTTCAGGGTAAATGTAGTCTTATCCTTCCTTAACAGTATCTCAGACTGAACATTTCCAACTGGTCCAGCTTCCATCAACAAGTCATTGTAGAATTTCATGCCATAAAACATCCCTGTATCATCTACAAAATGAAGGAATTCCGAGGAGTTAAGTGTTTAATTTTTATTGATTCTGTTCCTCATTCTGTGCCTTTGAAATTCAACTTGTAGTACAACTTACTTATGGATTGGTAAGGGACAAGAGGCTTGTAATCGAAGCTGAACACTTGAGTGATGTTGTTGAGGTTAGGATGTTGTGCCACCAGGGTCCACTGCGTATAGTTCAATCTGTAGTTGAAATTTGTAATCGCGATCTTCGCACGCCAATAATCCCTGTAGTTGATCTTCACGTGCCAATGCACGCGTATCGGGCACATATGGTGTGTGCATTGCAGCAATGGCGCATTGTCCTTCCTAGGTGTGTTTACTCCTTTCGTGCTGAGTTTCTTTGAGTCGCTCCTGCATCAAACCATTTGTTTTGGTGATGTTTTTGAGGGATCAAAATCTCGTTGAAACCCGTTTTAGTGCATCTAATTAACTTCAAATTGGTTTCAAACCAATCTACTAATTAAATGGATCAAGGCAAATATGTGTGGTTTTAACTTACATGATACAATCATTTTTGTTATGACAGCCACAAGCGCAAGAAGGGCAAGGAGTGATGGTTTGATTGTAGAATGATGAGAATGAAACACAACAAGTTGGGTATTTCGAGGCAAGGAACTGCGAATAGGTGCACGTCACTGTCCAAGTCACTGCAACATCCATCCATCCATCCATGAATCAGACCAAAAATAATGTTGTACAAAAACAGCTAGAAGATTTTTGTTGGAGAAAGAAAATCGGAAAAAAAAAACATACTTAAAACTTGTGTCTTTCGACGATGATCTGGGGTGAAGAAAACCGTAGAGGGCACAATCTTAGCAGGGCCGCAAGTATAGCCTGGCCCTGGTCCGAGCAGAACAAAGTCCTTTGGAAGTTTCACTGTTTTGTTGGAAGTTCCAGCAAGACCAACACTTATCTGGTAACAAAATATAATGAGATTTAAGACAAACTTTGATACAAAAACGAAAAACACATTCCCAATATGTACTACGTACTAGCAGTATCCTACCTGAAATGCAGAAACAGCGGCCAAGGGATCTTGTCCCCAGGACGCGACCACGCCTCCCTTGCAGCAATTGGCAAATTGTTGGTTGTAAGGAACTCCGGAGAGCATGTCCACAACGGTAGGACTCTTCTTGCAACAATGTGGTACGTTTCCTTTGAACTTGGAACAATCTCCTTGCTCGGTTGCTTGCGCGCCAACTATTGACCAAATGACTTCTTTCTTAGCCCAAGTCCACCCTAAAGTCCAGCCGGGCGTCATGATGTGCCGATACATTTGATAATTGTTCATTGTTACCGATGCCTGTATGTTGCGATAAATGAGGTTAGGTTTTTCTCAATCATCACACATTCTTTTCCTGTTTTTCCAGCTGATTGTTAACTAAGGACAGTAAAAAAAAAAAAAACAACAACAACATTGCTTATGACTAATTACCACATATCCATCTGGAGTCCAAGACATGACATCCCATTTGATTGTAATGTTTCCAAATGGATCCAGTGGATCAAACGCCTCTTCAGGTTGAAAGCCAGAAAAATTTGTCAGTTTGTAGAGATGGCAAAAGAAAATGTAGACTAATTTTCACTATATAGTATGTGTGTAACATCAATGAAATCTGGCATTACCTGAAGAATGAGAACAAGCCATGAACAACAATATAGCACATAAGTAGAGCAGTTTCTGGTGACCATTGGCTCCAATAGCACATTCTTTAAACATGTTTGATAATTTTCCAAATCCCGTTGTCTTGGTGCGTGTTTAGCAGGATATTTTTGGAGTCTCCCTGTATTAATGAATGAGGAGAAAGTGGATATCACTATCTTAGCTGCGTATATGGATTAGGAATGAAGTAATCAGGAGAAGTCCTGCATGATCATAGATATTTTGAATCTTGATGGAACACCTGAAAGTTTGGTCTCATGGGTACGTTATCTCATGATCTAGGATGTCAAATTGTTCTAGTTCGTATATGTAATTATAATAGATGTTTCACGAATATTGATATTTTATATAGTTTTTTTTTTCGCGCATGTTCAGATATCCATTACTATACAGGTGTGTCACGAATTTCAAACCAGCCCATACATGTTTAGTGCTTGTTTGGACGTCAATTTACACTTCATTTTGCCACTTCAAAGTGGAAAGTGTTTCAAATTGAAAACTAAATGGGAAATAAAAATGTTGTTTGGATATTGGTTTCAAAAAAAAAAAAATATTTTGAACTACATTTTGAAATATCAAGTACAAGTCATCACTAAACAATTAAATACTGTCAATTATAGTCACTGCAAAAAAGAACTTTTCCAAAAACAATCACTCAACAACGGAATCCTGCCAAATTTGTCACTGAACTATTTGTAGTTCTAAAATGGTCATTACACTAATAAAAAGTATTTCAAGTTGGAATTTAAAATGTGAATCAGAAAGTTGTTTGGATGATATTTTTTTTTCCATTAAATTTTGTGTTTAAGAGGTAAAATGAGTGAAAATGTAAAATGAATTGATGTCCAAACAAGGCCACAATCTCAGTCTCTCTGCAGTGCAACCTAAAAAAGTTGTGAAATTTGCAAGATTAATTTACAAGTTGAAACGGGTGTGAGACATAAGACATCTGAACACAAACAGCTAGGAAGTTAGTGTCATAGTGGTTTGCAACTCTGTCCGTACTTATATGTATAGTATCTGCTGAGTACCAATAGGAAAATTGATTGTTAACTTGTATAATTGGAGAGAGTGAATATCATGGTAAAACTAATTTTGTCGATAAATAACTAAGTGAAGGCATGAACAATGTCATACCGTGATGATCACCAACTGATGTCCCATTAAATCAATCAATGACTTATATGTGTTAATCTGATGTTAAACAAATGATCATCTTAAATTAATGCTGCTTGTGGAAAATAAGAATGATGTTTACTACTCTCTCCATTCCAACATATATGTCGTTGGAGGAAAACCAAATTTTTTCAAAATAGATGTCGTTTTTGCATATCTAGGCATATTTTGTCATCTTCTTCCAACATTGTCCCTACATTAGAAGTTGTAATTGTATTTAAAATAAAAGTGTATTAGAACTAAATGATATTGGGAATAGAATTGTATTGAGAATAAATGAGGGTAGTTTAGTATTTTAACCAAATATTTGTTGTCTTCTTAAACTTTGCGAAACTCTTCCAGCAACATATATTTTAGAACGGAAGGAGTACTATTTCATAATGATGATGGGGGTTATAAAATAGCGGGTGGATTTTTTCAGCCACCCAAATTAGTACTTGAAACCACCAATTTTGAAGAATTTCCCTTTTGCCCCTACCACTCGGACCGAACCGGGCAAGTCATTCGGTCCGATTCACGTGAGAACGGACAAATTAATAATTTTTATTTTAATATTAGTTTATTCGCAGTAGCGTTACATGTTGAATACCTTGTACTTTAAATATTATTAACAATATTTATACTTTAGTGTTTAAACTCTCGATTTTATATTTATTTGAAAATAAACAAGTAATTAATTTTCACTTGAAAATAAATTTAAGATTATTTTTTAAGTTAATTTATTTGAATTGATATTAAAATATAAATTTTACTTTAATCATTATTTTAAAGATAATTTTTAGTTAAAATAATAATTATACATTTATAATGAAAAATAATAATTGTACTACAAAGATTCTGACAAATATGTGCAAATAGATTAACTATTTTTTGTACTACAAAGATTGGTGATACTTAATGTAACTCAAATAATAAATTATTAATAAATTTAATGACCTAAAAACTAGATTAACTAATTACAACAAAAAATCTAAAAATTAAAAAAATAGTAATGAATCCGATTGATATTTTTTAATTTTTAGACTTTTTTAAATAACAAATATTGCTATTTTTTAATTACAAAAAAAAATTAAAAAATTAAAAGAAAAGGCCTGACCGGTCTGGTTCACCATATCGGATTGAACCGGGATCGGCCGAGCAATGACCCGGGATGGGTGGACCGCCCGGTCGGTCAATTTTATTTTTTTTTAAAATTTTCATTTTTTTTTATTTTCTCTCTAGTCAAATTATTTGATTAGAAACATAATAAAGATAAAATGGTCCAATTTTAAAACATATGACTTCAAGTGGTAAAGGTGGTAACTTTGAAAATAAATACTTCATAAAATAAACATATTAATATTTATTGGCCCAAATGTACACGAGTCTTGTGGTAATGGCCCAAAGAATTGGGCCAACATCCATTTCACTCTCTTGAAACCTCCGCCTAGTGGAACATCATCTCTAAGGTTTTGGATTTGCTTCTTTTTTTTTTTTTTTTTTTCCTTCTATATACCACTTCATCTTCTACCTTTGAATTTGATCATCCCCGTCCATGGTAGCTAACATTGTGTGTTGGAACTTGGAACTCCTTCCATGATTCCATCCCGAAACACACGCTCAGGACCAGCACTGATTCTCTTCGCGCATCCATCCCATTTATAAAAGGGCTAGCTCCCTTCAGTAATTCAGTGGTGACCTAAAGTTTAGCTCCATCATTCAATAACTCCTTGTGTTTACCAAATATCACAACAACCATATTATCTCATATTTCCTCTGTTTTAAAATAATTATCCCATGTGAATATTTAACTCTTAGTACAATTTATACTAAATATACTACAAGTGAAATTATAAACTGGACAATCAGTTCAGGGCGAGATGGAGCATAAAATTCTTCTATGGATCACCAATTCTGATCACGTTCTAATTATACATTCACAACAAGTACGGGATAGTTCTTTAAGAAAATTTTAAGGGAAACCTAGTTTCGAATCGGAAAGAGAAGTTGGTAGCAGAAATCGTAGTAAATTACTGTCTGTGAATTCAAGTTGATTAAACTACTACTTAATCCACCTTTACAAACTACTAATTACCAGTAGCTAGCCAACCAAACAAGATCTTGTTGAGGATGTCATAATTAAATTGTTGAATTACCTGACTAATTAACACCAGTCGGCAGCGCAGCAATTTTGATGCAAATAGCAGGCCCTGATTAATAAATAACATTACATAGGGCGTTACATTAAATTAAATGATGATATTTAATATTAAAATTCTTATGTTGTCGGTGGGCATCAGCTTCTACGGTACAGTTCTTCGGATTGTCCTGTACTAACTACATTTTCTGCCATTAGTTTCCTTTAAATTTTAATTTAGGGTGGAAAAAAAAAATACTTTAGGAGCTTATAAAGTCTCCAACAAAAGTAATCACATAACAAAGAATTCATTAGATTTCTACTTAAAATTAGATATCCACACATTTTCATTTGATAGTCCTCTGATGGAACGTCGTAGTACATGTCCTGGTTAGGCTAAACTTTTCAGGATTAATTTAATTATGATTGGTGTTTTTCTGAGAAAAAAAAAATCTATCCCAATGAATTTTACTTAAATGTGAAAAAAAAAACTATAACTTGTGTTTAATATGAACATTATATAGACATATAGTACTCCCTTTGTCCCAAAATTATTGTCCGGTTTGATATTTCACTTTTAGTACAATTTGAATTAGAAATGAAAACTCAAATTGGACAATAATTATGGGACGGGGCAGTAATAGATTATTAAAAAACTGTTTGTTGAAAAATATCTTCTCAAGAAAAATTTACCAAATTTGAATCCAAATTAATTATATAGTCGATTTTAACACCAAATACGTAACCCAAGAAAGGTAGGAGTAGTTGCTAGTGTTAAAATGGGCAAGTGTTTTGGCAGGGGGCATTGAAAACTGGTACTAAATAGTAGTGCCAGAAATGAACTCAAAGCAGTCAGCAGCATTACAAGTGTATGTGCGTAGGAGGAACCTCGACCATTGTGATGTTCGACCCTCGACCTATGGTTAAGGATGGAGGAATTTCTTTCACTCCATCACAATCACTTTGATTCTAATGTTGTGTACTAATATTTTTATTTTTCAATTTCGTTTCAAGTTTATGTATGGTGTTACCTTTTTTTTATTATTATTTTTTGAAAATGGTAGTGAATAATGTGAGTACCAGTACCAACTTAGGCAGCATTTGCATTATTGAAGATTTAACAAATTCGAACTAGAGTATAATAAACCCACCCTCACTTTTATCAGTTTATGCATACACAAACATAATGTAACGTATTTATGAAACAAAAAAAGGGTTTGAGTCACCATTCGACGACGCATGTCCTATGATGAACACAGAGAGAGAGAGAGAAAAAAAAAAAAAAAAAAGAAGAATTTGGTCCAAAAAACACTTTCGAAATTCAAAGTTCAAAACAGACGCTGCTGAAGACTTATTGAAAAAAGTAGACGCATATCTCATCTATTAACAACGCTCTTCTCTTCCACATTTGGTCTTTTGTTGGTTAACACGTGGTTCTCTATTACTCTTCTCATAATTTCAGTTCATTCATACGAATTCTTCTAGTAGTCTGTCTCACATTTTCACTCTCTTTAAAATCAATATTTACTCCCTCTCTCACCCACCCAAACAAAAAAAAAAAAAAATTGAGTTGGTTTGATAAATGTGGAGATCTTAAATCAAAATGGGTATATTTGTTTCGTTTTTTTAATGTATCTTTTTAGGTGTTTTTTGTGTTTGGAATGTAAAAAAATGTGTTGGAAATGTAAACAGGTATACTGGTATGAGACAATTATTAGTAAAAAAAACCATCAAAAAAAGCAAACAAACATAGCCATTAATGTTTTTGACTATCTTTTGGTTAATTATTTCACCTGTCGAGATACTAACAATTCAGCAAGTAGATTAATTATTGTTCCAGCCAATAAACATTCTCCAAAATAAAAAATATATTAAAATAATTACTATTATGAGTTTAAACTTATTCAAATACATCACTATTCCAATCCAAACTTATTCTCCTGGTTGATACATTATTTTACTAATATGTACAAAATAGATCGTTATTTGGGGACAAAATAATAATAATAAAAAAAAACAGATACAGTTTATATAGAAAAATTAGATTAAAAATAGAAGACCAAACAAGGGGGTAATTTGAGAAAGGAATTGGAGGGACGGCCATCGGGGAGGAATAGACCGTCTCAATATTCCTCCCAACCTATTTATGTTACTTTCACTTTTCAAAAGCAACCTTTCTTTTCATTTTTCATTTTCTTAAGGGGGAAAAATAAAAGAAATTAAGAAGAGCGATTCCCTCTTGTTTCCTTCAAATTGCTTAAATCTTTTCTAATGACACAATATAATCTACTGAACTTTGTTAGTATTATTCGATTTAGTTTTGATTTCATGTCCTTATAATTGAAAATATGAATCAAATATCTTAATTATTTAGTTTTAAAATACCGTGTGCTGGTCATAATTATAAGACAAAAATTTGAACAAATTTTTTTAGTCTTATTTTGTATCTTATAATTACGACCGAACTTTGGAAGAAATGCATAACAAATAATAAAAAAGGACAATTTTGCCTCTCTCGATCCAAATTTATATGGAAATGGAAGTAGTGAGAAGAAATACAGCCCCTCTACCTCCTACTCCTATAGACCTCTACTTAATTACTTTTGCCTAACTTACTTACTACTCTCACTATTAATTAGTAGTTACTTTAGCATAAACGCATGCTACACATAATTATTAATATACTCTCACATTCATTGTACAATAAATAAAACCATCATTTTTTCACAAATCAGGCAGAAGGAGTAACTTTTATTACTTGATCCAATATATTGGAAATATTTAAAGTGATTTATTAGAAACATTTAAACCAATCCCGTATGTTGTTATATTGTCTAAAATTAAAAACGCCAAACATCATATAATACGACAAGAATAATTCACCAGTGTAATTTATTAAAAAAAAAACTAATAACAATCAAAACAAAATATTAGTTCTTTAGTAATAGGGATATCCTCCGCTCAAGATACTCGAAGCTTTTTCTGATTATTATAAGCTCCAAGCTTCCTTCATTTTTTTTTTCTTAAAAAAAATAGAGTTCTAAAAGGAATTAAATAAGGTCATGAGGAAAATTCAAGTTAGAATCAAAGTGGAGCATAGGAGTACGATGTCGTATCACGTGCCGTTCTTTAATCACATTCACACCCCTTTATTTAGGCAGCAATCCATGGGATTAATATAAACAGTTCACAATTCCCACCCCCTTTCTCTTTCCCCTTCTTAAACCTCTCCTCCTTCCTATATAAATCCACCCCCAAACTCCCAAAACGCCAAAAACCCACCAAAATTCACGCCTCATTTGCTTCCCCTAAATCCCCCCCAATTTTGTAGATCTCAATCAAAGAACCCCTCTTCCCAACAATCCCAGTTCAACAGATTCATTCACTTGCAACTAAGGAAAAAAAAGGCATGGCTTCAGCAACTCCAGTGTTGAAAGATGAGTTGGATATAGTGATTCCAACAATCAGGAACCTGGATTTCTTGGAGATGTGGAGGCCCTTTTTCCAGCCTTACCATCTCATCATTGTTCAGGATGGTGACCCTTCTAAGACCATCAAAGTCCCTCAAGGTTTTGATTATGAGCTTTACAACAGGAATGATATTAACAGGATTCTGGGCCCTAAGGCTTCCTGCATTTCCTTCAAAGACTCTGCCTGTCGCTGCTTTGGTTACATGGTCTCCAAGAAGAAGTACATCTACACCATTGACGATGATTGCTTCGTAAGTCCAGAATTTTTTTTTTCTTTTTGAGTATATTATCCGCAATTAGCATCCGAATCCCTTTTTTAATTTGCGTCGGTTTTGGATCAAGATAGGATTTTTACTTGATTTTTCATGTCAGTTGGCTGGGTTTCTGTTTGGGGTTTTTTTTCGGATGTAAAGTTTGGATTTTTTCTTTTTCCTGATTTAAGCTAGTATCCTTTGTGTTAATTTATGATGCAAAGTGGTTGTTTGTTATGTGCAATATTTTATTATAAGAATTAGATTTTTAGTTTTAATGTCGGTTGGGTCATTGAAGTTGGGAATGCATGTTTAGCTTACTCCAAAAATTGTGAATACTGATGTAATTGTGGTTCAGTATTAAATGTGGCGTTTGTTGAGTTTTCAAAATCACACCTTTCCTGTTTCTCGTGATGTTTCTCACTTACGTTTTCAGTTTTTTTCCCCATTATAAATGACTATAATAAGAAATTTCAGTGCTTTTCTACTGAGTTGAAAGAGCATTCATTACAGTTTTTGTGCTTTTACATTCAGATCTTAAACTCTTTGCTGGCTTTCTCTTTTGAAATTATGAGTTTGGTTTTGCATATATTTTTGTTGGGGGAAGTTTGATAGATTCTGATCTGCTGTCTTTATCAGAATGTAGATTGAACTCTTGCCCTGCCTGTCAGATGTAGTATAAGTAACTGTAGTTTCATCCCCTTTGTTTTGTAAATCTCACATCTGAGTTGTCTGACTGGCAGAAATTTGTCAGAATCAGTAACCAGATGTCCCTATATTTGCTGCTTTATGTTTTAGTCGTGACTATAATATATCTTTTATCTGTTTAATGTGTTCCGATGTGTATTATCTGGTTTAACGTAATTACTTCTTCTTTTTTTTAAAAAAATCCCAGGTTGCCAAGGATCCATCTGGCAAAGAAATTAACGCGCTCGAGCAGCACATAAAGAACCTTTTGTCCCCATCGACACCATTTTTCTTCAATACCCTCTACGATCCCTACAGGGAAGGCACAGACTTTGTTCGAGGATACCCGTTCAGTCTGCGTGAAGGTGTGCCTACTGCAGTGTCGCATGGCCTATGGCTCAACATACCCGACTATGATGCTCCCACACAGCTGGTCAAGCCTCTTGAGAGGAACACTAGGTAATAATGTCCCCCTTTCAACAATGCATCGGTTATTACCTCTGCAGTTCGACTTCAATGCACTTGGTTTACTTTGTTTGTTATCCTTGTCAGGTATGTGGATGCAGTTATGACTGTGCCAAAGGGAACTCTCTTCCCCATGTGTGGAATGAATCTCGGCTTCAACCGTGAATTGATTGGACCTGCGATGTACTTTGGCCTCATGGGTGATGGCCAGCCTATTGGCCGATACGATGATATGTGGGCTGGCTGGTGCATGAAGGTATTTATTGTTTGTAGTTATAGGATTTCCTGGAGGCTTTAAATGTATATAATCTGGGGTCCCGTATACTCTGATGCAAAAATGAAATCTTTGTCAACCTCCTTATGCAGGTTATCTGTGACCACCTGGGTTTGGGGGTCAAAACTGGACTGCCTTACATCTGGCACAGTAAGGCGAGTAACCCATTCGTGAACCTTAAGAAAGAGTATAAGGGCATCTACTGGCAGGAAGAGCTCATCCCCTTTTTCCAATCCGTTACCATTCCAAAAGACTGCACAACCGTGCAGAAATGCTACCTCGAGCTAGCCAAGCAAGTCAAAGCAAAACTCGGCAAGGTAGATGATTACTTTAATAAGCTCGCCGATGCCATGGTGACCTGGATTGAAGCATGGGATGAGCTGAACCCGTCCAGCGCTGCTTCTGCTGAAGTGCCTAATGGCCCTAAAAAGTAGAAGACATTACAATTCGAGGGAGATCATCTCACTTGGATAGGTATAGGAGTTGTATGGTTACGAGAGGGGTTATTTATCCGAGGTTTTAGCTGAGCGTTCGAGTGGCTTATTATTTTACATTGTTTTCGATGTCATTATTAGTGATTTGGTTTACTCCTTTTACCTAAGAATAATAAGATTTTTTTTTTCATGCATTTTTTAGTCTTATTAATTTTGATCATTGTTATGGTTATATGGTATAGGCCCTTAAAGATAATTGGCAGATGAGTTATCTAAAATTCTGAACCCTATATTATTTTTTTGTTAGATAGTGTTTCTTTCACTTTGTTCTTTTGTCTAGCTTACTTGCTCTCTGCTTGTTATTTTTCGAGGCTGGCTGTACTTTCAAGCTGAGTGTGGTTTTTACCTGCTTGTAAGGGGGTTTCAGTTACCGGGAAAAGATCCCCTAAGTCGGGTTTTGGTGGTAAAGGTGCTTGTGTTGTGTTTTGCATGTCGAGATGATAGCTATTTGTGTGCTTATAGGAATGCAATTATATGTTGTGGTTACATTGTGCAGGAAATAATTAGATCTCGTTTGCCTCACATTGATTCCAAATTCCAGTGTATATATATTTTCGTGTGGAAAGATAGATTCCATGAGCAGGCCACCAAACAAATCGGTGTCATATTAACTTTGGTATGACGTTTTTGTTATTCAACATCCGCAGGAAACTTGTTTTGGCTTTTATGGAATGCCGAAACGCGATGGAAACTTCAACTGAAGGATTTCACAAGAAAAAGTTGCCTTCATAGGACCAAAGCTGTATGCATCCCTTTGGATTCAGTTAGGAAGCTAGCTGTAAAAAGTAAAATTGGCACTTCTCGTCGATTGTAGGCCTATCGGAAACAACAGAGAACTACAAATACAAAACACAATGAAGCAGATGTGGTTTAGCTTTAGCGACAACTCCAATGTCGAAGAGAAATAATGGATTAAAGTTTGATAAGAAAGGAGAAAAGAGCTAGAAATTCTTGTTTCTTTGTCAGAAAAAGACAGTGCAAGAAACAAGTGTATCACAAACAAGGGCCATCCAATTCCAGCCTAACATCATTTGCGAAGTTGTATGATCATTAAACAGACTAATAAAGAATCCACGAGATTATGAGTAATATATTCCCTAATCAAAGCCATACATCAGAAGGTATTGAATCTGAAGGGCAATGGTGACAGTCTGAACTCTAAATGACAACAAGAACAAAGGCAGCGAACAAGACATTTGGTTGTGCCTAAATTGATTTAAGAAATTGGATATGATAAAAGGTAGTTCATCTTGCTTCTCTTCTATACTTGTAGCATCTTTTTGCTATCTGTCCTTTACTTGAACAGAGCTGCAAAGTAAGCTCATTGCTTAGCGCACAGCCGCAAACATGAACCTGCAAATCAAACACCAACCTAAATAAATAACAAAAAGAACATTCGTTCTCACAAGTGGCAGTAGTCATAACAACACTGATGTTTTACTAAGAGCGTTAGATTTCATAAGCAATCAATTAGTTTTTAGCCATCTCATTGTGGTGTTGGAGTTACAGGTTTTTCACGTGTGTTATGCTCAGGCATAGGTTTCAATTTTGCATTCTTATCACTTGCACGCATTCTAAGGGAAATTCAACATCTTTTCAACTTAAAAACCTGAAAAACTATTGAACTGACAGCCTAATAAAACAGTAGCCAGATAACAAATAATACTTGGGCTAAAAGAGTTTAAGATACATGAACAGATTCATTTTGGAGCTCATTGGTCCAACTGCATATGTAAACGCACTAACCCTTGATGGTTTTGTGTCAGACACACCTTGCTTAGTTTTGTGTGCTTCTGAACCCGAAAAAGGCACCATTATCCTCCTTCGTGTGTATTGATCGCTTTTGGTGTTCCACTCGCTGAAGCTGAGATGATAGCTGGAGCAAATCTATTGTAGAACCATCTTCACATGAGAGTTGATGATTCTTGGCATTATTCATGAATTCTGAACCTGAATTTATGCAATCACTACTGTCTGATATGAGAACCGGTTCCATTTGTGTTGTTGAAGTTTGAGGACTAATCCTCAAGAGCTTTTCAGACACTTGTGTTATGCTGTAATGAGAGTTGCTGCTTGGAGTGGAAATCAAGGGAACACCCATAGGAACATTTTGTGATTGTGATGACAGAAGAGAGAGAGCACAAGTGTAGCCTGAAGTTGTCGCTGTTAAGCCCTTAACATCTGATGATGCCGAGTCTAAACCAGTGTAGGCATCATCGCTCCCTTTTGTATTGCAGGTATTATGGAACATGGAATATTGATCCGAGTCCAAATCTGAGGCAGAAATGCTGTGCGTGAATGGATTATAATTATGATACTTTTGGTTCATTTTGGTCCTTGGAAATGCATTGATTAGTCCATCATCGAAGTCACAAAGAGAAGCAGCAGAAGAACATGGCTTCTCACAAGAACGAAATGAAGTAACCACCGTATTATTAGGTCTCAGTATATGATTCTGTTGCTGCTCTCCTTTTGAGCTTGGAATTATTGCAGCGTAATCATTAGAAGATCCATCCTCAACTTTCAAGGTCTTGCACCAGTCATTACTCATACCATATCTCTGTGTGTCACTACTCATACCAGGAAGTATATCCTGACAGACAAAAGATGACATCACAGAAGAAGAAGCCCTTTCCAACCTGGTATTACCTGCAGCCAGTAAATCACCATGTTTTGTGTTAACTTTCAAACTAAACATAAAAACATTAGCATTCATTACAAGATTCAAATACATGACATTGCGTGTAAAACTAATGGGAATTTTCATCTGTAAACTAGAAATATGACAGAAAACCATGCAGAATAACCAATTCTAAACGGTTCACTTGGATAAAAAAATAATGTCTAAATCGCTAATGATGACAGTATAATATTATTCATTAAAAACAAAGAATCTGAATCCAGCACCATGGAATTAAATTCTCTAATATGTTCAGTTCCTGATCAGGCGTAACCGAGGTACTGCTACTATTGGAAAAAGGAATATGCAAGCTTCATGTTTCATAGATGCATAAATGTGGTATTTGTAGACTGCAATATACCATTGTAAGAGTTAAACACCCTCGCTGCTCTGCTAGTATGTACACTGATATGAGGTTTTCTTCGTCGCTCATTGTGCCCAGCAAGGCGTTTGCGGCAGCTGCGTTTACCATCATCAAACTCAGCCAATAAGTGAAACCTACAGTGGTTCCAATCAAGGTTAGGCCATGTTAGCACCAAGAAAGTGCCTAATAACATGCTTCAGAGATGCATGATTATAGACTTAAATTGATAGTTTCATAGTTTCATGTACAAATCTGGTCTAACATCCAAACAGCTGTCACAATAAACCACTGGCCTTGGCAAGAAGGGGAAGAATGTCATCATACAAGCATTACAATAGTAAATGAAATTCACCATTGTTTTTTCATCTTTTAAAAGTGCCAGATTAAACGAATACTATCAGATCAGTTAAGTCAGTAGAGTTGTAAGTACTTCTGCTCTAAGAAGTTTATAATTGGTATATTAAGCAATATATTTATTCAATTTTGATGAAAATTAACATATGTATCATAATTAAAAAAAAAAAAAAAAAACTAACCTGCTACATTGCTGGCAGAACCTTTGTTCAATTCCATTCACAATCACTTTGATTGATTTTGAATGAATCTCACAAACTTTGTGCCTCTTATGATAATCCTTAGAGGAGCTGAGATCCTTCTTGCAACCATGAACTTGACAAAATGGTATCTGAGAACTACTCAAACTTCCACCACCTCTTGCTTTCTTTGTAGGCATAGGCACAATAGATGATGACTCAACTTGAAAATTTTTTTTAAGGTTTGCTGCCTTATTTTGGGGATCAGGAGGGGGAAACCTTCCCAATTTCAGGTCTATCAATGGTAAATCCCTACTAGAATTTGATTCCACAATGGAACTTGACAGCTTAGAACAACTGGATTCTGAACTTAGAGTATCTTGAAATGAACTGTTCAGAATTCCTTTATCTCCATAGCCAAATTTGCCACTGAGGAAAACATCTCTAATTGAGCTAGTATTATTGGCCACACAATTCTTCATCATCATCATACCAGAGGAATCCAACTCCTCCTCATCATCCAATACTACTTGATTTTTCCTAATGCTCGAATCCTGATAGTAATCATTCCCAAAGTTCTTACTTGAGGAGGGCTTCAATTCCCCCCAGACAGCCATTCCATTTCTAATTCTAGCAAATCCATCAGTCTCAGAAACAGAATCATGAGAGGCAAAGTTTTTGAACCCAGAAACATAGCTCCAGGACTCCATCAATCTCTCTGTTCTTTTACCAGTATGATAAGAAGAATTCTACCTTCCAATTTGATCACATGGGAAAAACACATCTCAAATCAGAACTTCTGCATCATTCACCACAGAATTCTTCAATCCTACAGAGTCTACATGGAAAAAGCAAGGACCTCGGCAGCAACAAGTTAAAATAAACCAAAAAAAGTGTCAAACTTTCTTCTGTTATAACAATTATCTAACCAAAAGGACTGGTAAATTAACTAATTTGGTAGTACCAACTTCAAACACTTTAAAACAGGCCACCAAAAAGAGTAAAAATTTGGTTGGTAGAAGGAGTTTGCAAGAATAAACAAAACACGAAACCCACGAGCGGGATGAAATCAAGAAGCAAAGTAAAAAGGGATTTGGCTCTGCCTCCCAAGTGGAAGCAAGAAAGCTAAAGATGGAAAAAGAGCAGTAGTGGAGTTAGTGATGGATTGATCAGTTGGAAAAAAAAAAAATGAAAAGAAAGGCGCCAGTGGTCCAGTCCAGTAAGTAATAGTACTACTCTAGTAACACAGGATGAAAAAAAAAAAAAAAAAAGTACAAAAACTGAAAGCTGCCAAACATCACATTAAATGAGTCATATTATTATGTCACTGACTACAACAACAATAACAACTATACAAGCAACAAGAAGAAGGAAAAAGAAAGAAAAGCCACCTTCCCATAACTATGATATTAATGTACAAAAAAACCAGGCAATAAGGTCATTCATAGCAAGGGGAGATGGGGTTGGAGTTGGAGGAATGGGGCTACAAAAGAAAAATAAATAAAGATTCAGTCTTTGGCTGTTCCAAAATCCATGGAAATTTGCTGTGGTTGGTGTATTAAATATTTGTCAACCAATCCGATGGTTCCTTGCTTGGCTGCAGTGCTGCAATTATATTAGATACAACAACCAACCAAAGAAACAGATCATCAATCAAAAGCAGTAAATGGGATGGGATTGCTAGGCTGCTGTTGGCCTGGTGTGCAATTTTCCACCACTCTTCTTTCTTTCTTCTTCTGTCACAACCTTTGAATCAATTATTGATTGGACTATTTTTTAAAAATTTCAATGTTATATTTGTATTTTTGTACATGTTATAGTCAATCATATACAGTAGTTTAGCCTCTGATGTGGCCGTGGTTTTAATTTTAGGTACATCAATGGTTTCATCCATTGGTTAATGCTGCAGTCTACCACTCTTCTCTGGGATAATTTTTCTGTCAAAAGCACCATTTGCTCTCTACTTTTGAAATTACAGATTTCGCCTTGATTTAACTTCAACACATGTTGCATATATATTATTTAGGAGAAATTATGTTTGGGTGATGGTGTCAAAATTTTCTTATGTCGAATCGTATTAAATATTATTAATACTTGTGAGTTTGAACATTTCTGTTATGAGATGTCATCCACACAAATATCTTCTCTCATAACTAATTTTCACTATAGGAGAAAGAGTACATTTTTATTAAATGTTTATGAGACTGTTTCAAAATAATTGTCCAATTTATATGTATTTTTAGTAGACTAAACCCATAATTGGTCCGTTACATATGACCAAAAACACATTTTGGTATGTGACAAAATAATTTAGTGATTTTGGTCCGTAACAAAGTTTAGTTTTTAATTTTTTTTTTGGTCCAAAACCGTTAGAATTGACTACTTCCGTTAAGTTTGACTCCGTGCAACCGTTTTGACTAAAGTCAATAGTGGCATTTTGGAACTTCACATATTATGCTTTTTTGAAAATTACAAAATAAAATATAATTAGAAAGAAATTCTAATAAAACAATTTAAATATAGATTTTTTTTTTTCTAACACTCTCCTAAAATCCGATAGTAATTTCAGAACGAATGAAATAGTAATTTAGTGAAATTCTAGGCGAAGCTAAGAAGAATCAAGTCCAAATATCCCACTGCTTTTGCCCAAATTCAAAAAAAAAAAATCCATATCATTGGAGGTGGGGACTTTGAAATATCTCTTCAGTTGTGCAAATGTATTCATAATTTATCTATCAATCATGGGAGAGCTCATCAAGTGAATCTTGATAATATCTTTATTTCTTGTGCAATATTTGTCCCTATCCCACAATTTAACAATTGTGTTTGGCCATGAATGATGTACAAAAAATTATACTCCATCTGTCCCAAAATTATTGTCCAGTTTGAGATTTCACTTTTTATACAAATTAAACTAGAAATGAAAATTTAAACTGGACAATAATTATGGGACGGATGAAGTACTCCCTATAGTTCATGCACCTAACATCCCCAAGTTAGTGTTAACTTCTAGTGAAATTCCAACAGAGTACTATCTTTCAGAAGAAAGCAACAGAGTTCTAAAAAAAGGCCGAAAGAGGGCAGCTACGAGACCCACCAGAACAGTTATTGGGCTTTTTGTCAACCTAATTTTATTTCTCAGCACTCTGGTAGTAGGGATTATAAAGTTGTAGATGTGATATGATATATGGGGATAAAACCAATATAGCTAGCGAGGTTCAAACTCTGTTACATAGAGTAATCTTAGATTACATGTTTTATACTCCCTCGTCCCAAAAAAAAAAAATAGTCCACTTTGAATTTTCAAATTTGTATTATTTAGTACAAAACTCAAAATTCAAAATGGACTATTTTTTTGGGACGAAAGTATAGTACATGACATGTTTAAAAAATAAATTAACAAAGTTATTTGTTTTTCAAAGACGGAAGAACATATATAGTGGTCCATGACATGCAGCTGATGGATGCTACAAGAGTAGTGCATATATAAAATAGGACCGAGTCAGATTAACTTCCATTCGGGGTAATACATTTGTTTTTCATCATGTGTCCGCCAACATTATCTTGATCTTAGTTATATTTTAGCTCTTTCCTCAAATATCAATTTTCTACTCCATTCATCCCAAAATTATTGTCTATTTGTATTTTCAGTTTTAGGACAATTGAAACTAAAAATGAAAATCCAAATTAATTTTGAGACAGAGGGAGTATTATTCTTCTTGGATGAATTTGTTTTTAGCAATAGTGTTCAAGATCACCAAAATTAAATCAAGTTCAAATAGAGGTTGTTCAAGATCACCAAAATTAAATCAAGTTCAAATAGAGGAAGTTTTTTTTTTTTTTTCGAATTGAAATAAAAGAAAAGAAGAAAAACCTCCACCAATAAAATTAATTTTATCATCCTTCGATTCCTTCATTTCTGTGTACTATATGTATGGTCTATGTATATCATCATCACTTTCAACTTTCAACTAAAGAGCTCTTATTTGCTCGTATCTAACTCGCAAAGGATTACTATAAATATATACATACATATATATATATATAGTATTTGTTTAATCAACATCTAAGTAGGCCAAAAGCAATGTTGAAATGAGTAAGTGAGATCATAATCAATCCTGCACAAAAGCTCTAAGATTATACGTAGAGAGATATGACCCTTGTATGATCCTATATATTCAACAGAAGTGATAAAGCAGCATGCATGGTATTGAATATGATGCATGCATGCACCCAATACACAAACCCGCACACACCTACATATACATATAGTATAGACATATTTTCTTTTTTGATGAGTATATATATATATGTAATAATTACCGATAAAAATTGAGCTGATTGTGACTTATTAGTAGTAATATAATAAGTATTATTATATGCATGACTGAATGATTAACTCAAATGGCTAAGCATCCACGGGGGAAGCCCGGCACTAGCAGTAGAATTGGATTGGTGGCTGTTGGTATAAGCTGCGGCTTCTCCTACTTCTGTTGCATTAATACTAGTTTCACGATCTACTCCGCTTTCTGCTCCTCCTCCTCCTCCTCCTCGGTAACTTTCACTGTGTAAATCCCCAACCCTAAAAGAAGCAAAAAAAAAAAAAAAAGAAAAAGAGAGAACTTAAATACGAAAGAAACAATCAACATAATGGGTGGATAATCAATTAAGCTACGAACCTGATGACATTGAGGGAGGTCAAGTGTTGGGACGCAATGTAGGATGATGAACTCGCTTCATCACTACTGCTGCTGCTACTACTACTACCCCCCTGGTTTTGCTGCCCTACTTCTTCTTCTTCTTTTTCCTTTTCTTTTACCTGCATTTCATTCATACAAATTCAAATGGACCCACTCCACAATATATATCAAAGCCAGGGATTTTAGTGACAAACTAATGTATCATCACGTAGTTTATGCTTGTTGGAGTAGATATTATTATAGCACAAAATGTTATTAACAACCACAGTAATTAATTAACATCGGGAGAATAGTGGTCGTCACCTTCTTGGTAAGAATATTGTTCTGATCCTGCAATGCCTTGTCCTGCCCAAACAATACACGGTTCGTTTAAGTGTTAATTTGTGGGTTCATGACCTAAACACTCAAAATCACCAATAATTCATATCGACTCTGTCCCAGAAAAATAGTGTACATTGAGTTTTGAGATTCGTGCATTTTCGGTTCAAATGTCAAAACTCAACGTGAACTATTTTTTTTTTTTTTTGAGACATAGATACTATTATTGAGGTATTGTATGTATTATGTATACATAAATCAACCCAAGCAAGTGCTAATTTCACTTCATGCTCTCACCTTCTTCTGCAGCTGAGCAATGGCTTCAAACATGAGCTGATTCTGCAATCAGTAAAATACAGCACACCAAAAATAAAAGTCTTCAATTAGGCCTTTTTTTTTTTATGTTGAAACATTTGGTCCATAAAAAACCATATCTTTCATTAATTGCGAGTATTTTTTTTTTTTTAATGTAATGTACAAATTATATACTACCTTTCTTGACCTGACATGCTTGAGAGCGGAATCGAGCGGCTGCTCCAAATTTTGAAGCTCTCTCAGGCTTAGATCACCCAGTTCTTCTCCCATATAATGCCTACATTCACGCGTCAACAATTTAACTAACTATGAAGACCAGCAACCCCAGATTAGTATATACTTACTGTATACTTAAGGCGGCAAAGGTGATTCCTTGATTAATCCCGTTGAATAGGAGGATAGAACTTTGGAATATGTACAATGACTATTAGAAATTAACTAATACTCCCTCCATTTCAAAATAAGTGTTATTCTACTACTTATACATAGTTTATTAAGAAACATGTAAATAGAATAACTAAATTACTAGAATATCCTCAACTAACCCATTAAAATAAATGTTTACCAATAATATTATTTCTTTTGAGGGTATATTTTAAAATTTTAGATAAAAAAATTACACTGTAATTGACACTTATTTTGAATTTCTCCATTTTGCTAGAACGACACTTATTTCTAAATGGAGGGAGTACATGTTAATAAGAGCTGCAAGTGACTTGTGTAGGGTACATATAAAATTACACTTACTTTTGGGTTCTTTCAAGAGCTTCAATCCTAGCCTTTAGCTTTGCATGTTGAAGACTCCAGCTTCCCTGCACAATCTGTACTGCTTCATTAAGTTATTCAACAATTCAACTGATTGCATACATAATTGCTACATAGCTTGCTAGCCACATATAGAAACACATGATATAAACTTAAAAGTAGCAATATAAATCAATATACCCTGGATTCAAGATCTGTTGCCTCCAGCTGCCTTTCTGCATTAGAGTACCTTTCATACCTCTCCAGTATTCTTTCCATGCTGCACGCACTCAAGTTAATTGGATGCCACAAATATTCCATTATTCAAATCATTAATGAACAAGACAATGTTCATTAGCAGCAACATTTCATGTGTTATCCAAAAATCTGAAAGGGGGTGCATGGGGATTGGTGGCCTTAATTCCAGTCAATTGAATTTATCTCTCACTGGTTATTAATATATGATGATCATCTCTATTCTCCACTACAAATTAAGTAACAAAATACTAACTTAACATGCATCACTATTTTTCCTTCAATCAAAACAAATAAATAAATAATTAAAAATTTGTCTGGTTATGACAAATTAAAATGATTCTCTTATTTTAAGACAGAGCGAATAATTATAATAACAACTACTTTACACATTCTTACTAGGGGAAAAAAAAATGACAACCCTTTCCCCGTAAAATTTACTGCCTTACTGATGATTGAAAAGGTAAGTAATTAGGAAGAGAGGAGGGATGAAAGTCAAGTAACAAGAGTAACTAAGTGGAGAAACTAAAGTAGTGAACTTAAAATGAGCCCAATTATTGAAAGTGGTTTCGGAAGAGTGTTGTTTTATTAGTAGTTGGTAGTACTTAGAATAGAAAACAAAGGGGAAACTTCATTCAGATATCACCAGTGTTAATCTGAATAGTAATAGTAATAGTAATAGTAATGGCCTGCTTAAATCCAATGAACTGGGTCAGTTAAGTAATTAAAGACAGTAAGTGAAGGGTACGTACCACAAAATTAATCAGCCTTACATTTACTTTAATCCAAAACAGCCCAAATTAAACAAGATACACACACCCGACCCTCCCCATTAATCATGTGCATGTATAAGTGTTATTGGGATGCTGCCTGCTTCTAACTCTTCTTTTTGTCAATAATATTCTAGTTTGCTTAACTAAAACAATACAGTGTGATTAATTAGTATTATATTTTTTTAATTTTTTTTGGACGGAGGGAGTAGCGCATATATATATATATATATATATATATATATATATATTGTCTCGTGGTTAACCAATCTCACCACTTGATCGAAAGAGAAAAGGGAAAAGCCAAATTCAATACAAATCATTTGTAATATTAATCACACGGTCAAGCGGTACTCAAGAAGCTGAAATTCATTTTTTTTTATTAAAAAAAAAACGCCAAAGGAAACAAAACGTAAACAAAGTACCCGGTCATGAAGCAAATAATAAAACCAAAACGTGAGGAGGAAAAAAAAAAAAGAAGAAGAGAAAAAACCATGAAAGTTGGGCATCCAACAAGTTGAATTAATTAAACCAAAATCAATTTTTGCATATCGCTGAAATTATCAAATAGAACTAACGAAACAAGTCATGGAAGGAAAATCGGAGAGTAGAATAATTTCATTCTTAGGAGATAGAAAAACCAAATATTTATATATTATATACGCTTCTTCTGTATCCCAAAATAATTGTTCTGTTTATTGGGACGACGTGAGGTTGGGACAACGTGCGAGGGAAAGTGAAATGGAAGGTAATTAAAAAGTAAGTGATATATACATAGATAGAGTATATGATGATTATTAAATGAAGTATAGGGTGGTAGGTACCAGGAATCGGTGGCGTAGTGGAAGAGCTTGCCTTTGGTGGAGAAGACAATGAGCGCAACCTCCGCATCGCAGAGGACAGATATCTCATGAGCTTTCTTCAACAGTCCAGATCTCCGCTTTGAGAACGTCACCTGCCTGTTTATTTTGTTCTCTATCCTCTTCAGCTCCACCTTCCCTCTTCCCATCCTAGGGTTCTTCTTCTTCTTCTTCTTCTTCTTCTTCTTCTTGAGCAAGCAAGAAAGTTCACTTCCTTATCTTCGAGTATGTATATACTATGAACCAAGGAAGACACTGAAGATGGAAATAATTAACTACAAGTGGTAGCATTATATACAGGCGTGTGGTTACTTTTAATTTGTAAAAATGTGTGGATCCAAATCCAAACCTCTCTCTCTTCTCGTCTAAAGAGTGATGAGAGTGTGATGACATTAACAACAACAATTAATACAAAATGGTGAAATGAGATAATGACTGATGCGATACAAATAGTTATTATAATAATATGTTAACGTAGATTCATTTGTTACAACACGAATTCAATTTGAAAAAAAACGAAATGTTTTACTATGTTTAAATACGATAATAATTTGTTCATTCGTTTATCTAAATTTTTTAGATTTACCGTCTTTATCATTATTCGACCTAATAATGCAACTGATGACATCTCCAGCCATAAATTTATGAATTGGATTTTGGGTTGTAAATGAAGTTGTGAACTACTAGTATACTCCAACTATGGTATAGGGAAGAAAAACATAACGAGGGTTGAAAACTGATGAAAGAGAGAGGGGGGAAGGTAGATGGGGAATTGAGGCGGTATTGCAAAACCGGAGTGGTTTCGTCAAATGCGCTGTCGAATTTTGAGTGGATTTAGGGTCAGTGTGTTTTTTGTCCTTTTTGTCCTTCCGGGGCAGCCCCTGGAATGATGGTCTGTCTGCCCCCCATTCGTACACGTGTCCCCACCTCATTCTTCCGAATCTTCCCTTGCATTGTAGTATGTCCTTGGCTTATTTTTTAACCATTCTGGGATCTAAGCCTATTTGCCAATTTCAGACCAATTCCCCCCCCCCCAACCAGAGAAGATGATACTATGGCCATGTGGAGTTTTTAAATTTGTACAAAAAATAGTACAAAACTCAAAATTCAATGTGGACTATTTTTGTGGGACGGAGGAAGTATTTTATTACATGTTCTAACTTCTAAGTACAATGTTTTTTTTTATTTTAAAAGAGAGTTTTTAGTGGAAATGTAGAATTGTAGTCTTGTTATTAGGGTAATAAGTAATAAAAGATTTCGAGTGTACACTATGCCGTACAAAGAAATTATGTAATTGGATACTAATTAACAAGTTCAGTTTGAAAAAATGTGAATGGAAAAATGATTGAGTTTGCAATTAACCGATTGCTTGATACGTTGTGACAAAATTGATAGATATGTACTTAGATGTTAATTTCATGTTTGGATTCACTTTCACCCAAATGTGTAATACAATCTGTATATGGAAGAGATTTATTATCAAGTCCTTTGTTAACTCAAATTAACATCCACAAACGAGTTGTTTTCCAAAATCAGTATTCAAATTTGATTGATAGTACATTTTGCGAACCCTTTTAACCTTTTTTCCCCATTATTGTGAGGAAATTAAAGAATGATTAAGGATGATGAAAAAGGGGCTCTTACATAAATTAAGGATGATTAAGAATGATTAAGCTGGTATTGGGCCAGCTTAATTGTGACCCAGGTTCGAACTCGCGCATGAGTATGTAACAGTGATTAAAATATTTATTAGGAGAGTTTTACTTTCCGAAAAAAACCTACTCGACTCGAATCCAAATTAATAGGAGCAATGATTTCGGACACCGGGTGAGTAATATATTAAAAATAAATAAATAAATTGAATCCTCCTCTCAAATTTGAAAATGTCGTGGTAAGTATGGTGATACCCCAAGCGAGAATCACACCATCGAGAATTATACCACCAATCTCCTAGTAATAACCTCAAAGAAAAAGGAAGAAACCCGAGGCTTTAAATAAGGTTCTTGACACAATGTGATTTATTTATTTATTTATCTTTTTTTACATATTTGAAAATTTAATTTGGACTATTTTTTTCAGAACACAAATAGTATTTTTTTTTTCTTTTTCAAGGTGAGAGGTAAAAATGTATGTATTTACTCCACTCCTGGCTCCACTAAAACAAAGTAAATGTTTTTCTCAAAAAAAAAAAAAAAACACAAAGTAAAATGTACACAACGATGACTTCATCATACTATCTGCAAACGAGGTCAAGGCGGTGGTTGGTTCACTGCATCCCAACTATCCCTATCTCCCCCGCCTGCATCTTTGCCTCCCACTGATCACTTCAACCCCCAATTTGATAGCTTTGCTTAAAGTAATCACATATTACTCATAATTGTGTCTCGAAAAAAAAATTAAGAATGGAACCGTTTAACTTTTTATGCATCAATTTCATAGTAATAATTTGTTAGTCTATGTCGTGCCCTTCCAAAAACAAAAATTCTTTTTACTATTTATTTGCATTCTATTTTAATTTTTTGATTTTTTTTATTAAACTAAAACGACAAGATGTTGAAGAGTGTTACTATTATAAATAAATAAAAAAAAAAGTTGATGTTGACAAGGAATGTTGGAATCTTGCAAGTTGCAAATATTGATTTTTGGGGACATATGGAGAAAGGAATTGAATTTTCACGTGGTCTCGAAAAAGAAAAAATATACTCCCTTCGTCCCATAATTATTATCCAATTTGAATTTTCATTTTTAGTTCAAATTGTATTAAAATTGAAATCTCAAACTCCGACAATAATTTTGAGAAAAAAAAGGAAGTAACAACAACTTATAACAATACCAATATAGTTTGGTGGTCCATTTATATTCATTTCGTTGATTGAATTGGAACCTCAGAAGAAGCAGCCAATTAGAAGGCGCAGCTGAAATGGTAGTGGTCTGTCACAAACTGTACGTACGTAGGTGCATATATAGACAAGTTTATTTGCATTCTTAATTTTTTGATTGGCCAAATCGAGTAAACAACAATGTTGACAAGTTCGTTTGTTAATGTTTAGATTTCCTTATTTCCAAATTTGGTACCCATTTGTCCCTCTAATTTTTTTGCGACCCAATCATCATCTTCAACTGTTCTTACCACTATTAGGTGCAGCTATCTGATTTTTCTATTTCTGATGATCATATCACAATGCTCTGGGAAAACTTCATGTCTTTTATGCAAGGGCTTAGGCGATGCAACCTTTTTTTTTTCCATTTTTTTAATTATTACATGTAAAAATTAGTGGTATTTCATACTCGTTCTATCTCAACATAATTGTACAGTTTATATTTCTATTTTTATTAAAATTTGAGCTAAAAATAAAAATCTAGACAAACAATCATTTCAGGATCAAAAGAATATAATTCATAAATTTTTCAAGTTTCGTCCCATCTGCATTATGTAGTAATTGAAATATGTACTAGCTATATATGATATGGGTGCGTGTAAATATGTATTTTTCATATTCGCCCCTGCATTTTTATAATTCCTGGTCCCGTCACAGCGTCACTACTGCAAATTATACTTTGGCACCAGCCATTCTCTCCTGGCCACAATATGTATTTTTCATTTCCGTTCTTAATTAGCATTTGTGTCATATGTAGTTTTCGAAATATCAAAAGTTGTTTAAAGTGTTTATGAATTATGATGAACAGATTTTTTTAGTTTTTTTTTTTTTTTTTGCCCCTTCCTTTTTTCGTCTTTTTGGGGGAGGACAAATGTGAGTGCCTATTTATTTCTTATAATTCTTATTCTCTTGCCATACCCAATCTACAATGGGCTTTTGGTGTAAGTATTGGTCAAGCAAAAAGACTTTGATGGGAGAGAGTGAGTTAGGAAAGAGAGGAGTTGACGGGGAAGAAGAAGAAGATCTAAGGAGAAATAGATTGATTTTTTGGGTGGTGATTTTGCCGGGACATTTTTTAGCATCCAGAGCAAAAATAATTTTTTTTTTGTTTTTCTTTTTATGAAGTATTGTGCTTGTTCTATCAGTCATATTTTATTTTTTTTTCTATTAGTGAAGAATTTGTCCAATGTGCAAATTTAATTTGACTAACGGATTCATGAATTATCTCATTGCTGATAATTATAGAATCTTTTTCGGTTGTACTTTCATTCAAATCATATACTTTTACGTTTCTTAATCCCAATAATCGAATATGATTTACTTTCCAAAGTTCTTTTATTCGTCTTTTTAAAAATAAAAAATCTTGTAGCAGACAACTAACACAAGCCTACTCAATTAATCTCAAAAGTAAAAGCCTGTTCGCATTGCAACTAATAGAAAAAAACAACTATTAGACTAGACTAGTAGTGGAGTGCTCCTTTGTTGTTTGGATCTTGACCGGATCCGAGCTTCCCAAGCTCTATGCATCTCTCTCGACTTCGTTATTTTTTGTTCACCCAAATGTCGTCTTTTTTTTTTTTTGATCCTCATATTCCTTGGCGTAGCAATTAAACTCTGTTGGGGGGCAGTAAGACCTCTCAAGGCAGAGTGAGAGTTTGCTTGTGTAGCAATCTACTACTTGGCACTCCATAGCCAGAAATTAGAGTGCCATTAGGCAGGTCATAGCCTCTGATTGAAAAGGAGATTGCAGTCTTGATTTGGAGGACTGCTCTTATTGGTGATTATTTTGTCTTGCAGGGTACAAACTCAAATATGACTTTGCCATGAAAAGCCCTTGCTAGCAAGGTGAACCCATCAAAGGTGAGGTAGGACACAGTCATCCTTGAACATCCACCCGATGAAGTGTGGGATTTGGTGTATACAAATGTGGCCAGACATTTCATAAAAAAACAAATCCAAATGCATGGGAAAACGGTGTTGTCACGTCTTTGGACAATTCTACACCTTCGCTCCATCAATATGATTTGTCTAGCCATTCAGATTAGTAATACAGAAACGGGTAGTATTTCACCTCAAAAACAATTAATCATGAACGGAGTAGTCCATATACTTTTATATTGATATTCTGTTTCTCTTAATATCAATGTGGGATTGGAATTTTCAATACGTAATACTATTAATTAATTATTACTACTGAAAGAAAACGTACGTAGTTGTAGCTTTGACAAAAATACATTAAATCCATTTCACTCATTACACACACACACACACATAATGACATAATCATACTACTGCTACATTAATAGTATTTCCTTCCATCAAACGTGGGGTACGATGTTGTCTGTTATTTCTAGAATATTGATTTCCCCACACTCTCGCTCTTCTGTCCACCACACCATTATAGTATTTGATTTTCAATCTTTCATAATAACTACATTAACTACTATCTCCTTTAATAAAAAAAAATTAAACTATCTACTCCTTTCATTTTTTTATATGTCTTTCTGAAGAAATCATCAAAAGTAAGAACACATTAATTAATTAATATAGTTAAAATACACAAATACCCTTATTTATTGTCGATACACAATTCATCACAAACCAATAGAAATTCATTATAAATATTGTTTCATTTCTAATACAAGGGTAATATTGGTAAAAAGTGGTCAAATATGCATCGATTTGTGAAAACGACATATATTTAAAAAAATTCATCAAATTCTACACCGACATATATTTCAAAATGGAGAGAGTATTATTCACAAGTCATAAATTTAAATTAAGAGTTTATTTATAAGACACCAATTTAAATTAGAAAAATCAAAGGAATACAAATCATTCCTTCTAACCACACGACCAACCAGCCTATCCAAAAAAATAAAAAATAATAATAATAATAAAGTAAAAAGAAATGTTATCACTTCTCAAAGGAATCCAGTAATATTTGTGCAACACACACCAGAACGTGCTTCCAAATCCACCAAACAATACATTCCCATTTCTCCAATAATAAACCCACACACATACCCTTTTGTTGGTTTGACTTTGATTTGTTTAAATAATCGTATCTCTTTTCTTGCTAACAAGGACGCAAGCAGGCAGATCACTTTCCAGTCTCAAATCAATGTGGACTTTATACATTCTTTGACAGATCAATGGACTTGACTTCACTTCACTTCATGGTATGCACGTCAAATGATATAACCCCACCACCTTTGGACTTATCACACTAACCAACAGAATGGTAACCAGAGATTCTTCGATGATTTGTTGGACTCATTGATTAGGGCTGGCAAATTTCCATATATATTCAGCCAATGCATACACATACTTCACACTCTAAGACTCAAAAGGGCCTCATAATAATCAGTCATTTGATGGCACGGCTACCTGCAAAGTTACCGGCTTTCTTCAAGGCGAGGGCCGTGGCCGTGGCCGTGGCTTGTGTTCGTGTCCCTTCACCTTCGAAAAAGGCAGAAAATTTCCTCAAATTTGAGGAGGATGACTCTGCAGGGTTTACCAGCAAAAGCAGCAGCCGTGAGATCGACGACTTCAATGATGACGGACTGACAAAGCAGAAGACCCCCAGCAGCAACCGGGTCATGGTGGTTGTTGATTCTAGTCTCCAAGCTAAAAGCGCCCTCCAATGGGCACTCTCCCACACTGTTCAACCCCAGGATACCATCGTTCTTCTACACGTATCAAAACCTTCCAGCAAGCAAGGTTAGCCCGACATATGAATTCTCTCATTGACTGATGCGACTTTTAAATCAACAAGTTCTGGCTTAGCTACATTCCTGAAATCATGATTTAGCATGCACGACCATAAACAAGCACTGATGATAATATGACTCTGCCAACCTGTTTCTTGTTGCAGGTACGAATTCAAATCCTGGCAATGATAAGGTGCGTGAAATGCTACATTCCATGAAAAATGAATGTCAAATGAGGAGACCAGGGGTATGTGCCTCTTTTTTCTAACATACACAACTTCATTCATTATAGAACACACAAAAATCTTATTTCCTTATCTAAATTAGGTGGAGGTTGAAATAGCAGTGTGCCTTGGAAAGGAAAAGGCATCAATCATTGTCCAAGAAGCTAAAGAAAGAAAGGTCTCCCTGCTGGTTCTTGGGCAAAAGAGGAGATCAATCATGTGGCGCCTACAGAAGCTGATGATATGGAGAGGGAAAAGGACTAATAGGAACAGTAATAATATGGTGGTGGAATACTGCATACAGAATGCGAATTGCATGACAATTGCCGTAAGGAGGAAAAGCAGAAGACGCGGAGGATACCTGATCACGACCAAGCGCCACAAGAAGTTCTGGCTCTTAGCATAGGTGGGTGAACAAATGGTTACCTGAAAATTGGAGAAAACAAAAAGAAACTTTGTTGCAATTAGGAGAGAGAGGTGACACAACCAAAAAAAAAAAAAAAAAAATCAGCTTTATCGCACATTTTCAGCTGAGTAACCAGTACACGATTTTAATTGTATAAAAGAGATATACAAGAAAAAAGGATACAGAGTTCTTTCCCACAATTGACATTTCTCTTAAAAAGGTTCATGCTGCCAACTGTGTGTTCAGGATCACAATGAAAGAAAGAACATTAATGAACTCTCCATGTCATACAATGTCTTGTCAAACAATATGGAGTTCCAAGAAACAGAATGCACCAGCTAATGAGGAATGAAAATGTGTATATATTTACATGTTTGAACTGTACAGAAAAAAATACGAAGTGTTGAGAGCAGCTGCCCAGCTGCCCTTATTCTCCTTTTTCTCTTTTCTCTTTCTTCCTCGTGTTCTACTTTTCTGTAATTCTTCTTGTGGGTGGGGAACTGAATTTGAGAGGTTGATATCAGCATCAGAAAAAGCCCCTCTACATCAACATACCTAGTTATTTGGCAGAACTCATCTACCATTCTATACAGAGACATCACTTAACGGCTTTCTGTGGTTCCAAATCATAAGTGGATCTACTATATACAAATCTGTATAGCTGGTCGTACCCTGCAAGCACACCAGCCCCAGCTACACCGAGAAGCATGTTTGCTGACACTCCCCGGAAGAGGGCAGCAAAACCTTCGTGCCGTATGATTTCACGGAATGCATGGGCCCCATTGCGATACTTTAATGGTTGCCCAGAGGTTAACATCATCCTCCTACGCAATGTGTCAAAAGGGTAAGCACAAATCCCAGAAAAAGTCGTTATGCTCCAACCCAAGAAGAAGCTAGCGATAAAATTGTCCTGAAAATAGTTAAATACATTTTAAATTAGTGTAGAAGAGATGATTATGCCAGAAACAACAACATGAACGAAGACAAGGCCTTTATGCCACTTCATTGGGTCGGCCATGTGAATGATATGTCACTTTCGTGCACTGTTAGACCACATATTTTCATTTAAGTTTAAAAACTGCAGATATCATTACATATAGCACAAATGGAACAGTAAATGATTATTTCATAAGTGATATATCTGTTTCAATCCTTTTTAGAACCTCCCAAGTCTCTTGAGTGGATGCTGAGCAGAGAAATTCATGTGCTCACATCAACAAGAACAAAGAGATACAAAGGACTGAACTTGATATCTTTGTCCAGTTAGATTCAGTGACTCACTTAACCTTTATTTTAAAATTTTGTGGACTTGGACAATTCATCAGGGAAAAGAAAAACAATGTCAAGAGAAAGAAAATTTACCTGAAAGGGGCCAACCAAAATAACAGGCTTCATGGTGTCGTAGATTCCGAAATACATTCCTCTATACAGTGTTATGCCAATGATTGAAACCCCAAACCCTCGATAGAGGCCACTAATGCCATCAGTTGACAAGGTCTTACGGTAAACATCTAGTAGCCCTTTGAATTGGCGTTTTTGGTTAAATGAGCACTCCTTCACATCTGCTCCCAGCCGTGTCCTAGCATAATCTAAGTGATAAAGAAGTAATGATGTTGTCGCTCCAGCAGCACTCCCTGAAGCAACATTTCCTGCAAACCACCGTACATATCCATCTTTCTCTCTTGAGCATCCAAAGATACTCTTGAAATACCCTTTGAATGCAAAATTGGAAGCCTGTAAAAACGCAGAATTTCCCATTCAGAAATCAAATACACAGCAGATTTTCAGTACAACAACAAGCCTTCATCGCGAGTTTCCCGGATTTTCCACCAAAAAGTCAAGCACTTTTCCCATTATGTAGAGGGCAAAGGGTTAAACTAACGTAGTTATTCACAAATATGTTTTTTTGAAAAAAAATTAAAAAAAAAAAAAAGGAAAGGGAGAAGAAGAATATGAACACACATTCAGACAGTCAAAAGATATCATTGACAAATTAGCGGAAGGAAAAAAGAAAAGGAAACCCAAATAATTTGAGATCCTTTGAGATTCACAAGAATGGCATTTTATTAAGGAATGTCTCTGATATAGTTTGAAGCTATTTTACAATCGGCAACTGAAGGAAAATCTTGAACCTGTATCTCAGGGGGAATAGAAAATGAAATGGCTACGGCTACTAACCTGAGTTGGAAAATATCGAATGATATTGGCCTGGTTTCCCCTCCAAAAAGAGAAAAGACCTTCCTCTGTAAATATTCTTTTAAAGCAATCACCAACACCAACGTAAGGTCTGGTAAGATACCCTCTTTTAATAAGCTCTCCCTGATTCTGCAACAAAAGTTTCACCCTCTCGATAGGCGCTGCAGCACTTTTCGATACAATTGCTGCAGTTCCTCCCATGAGGAAATCCACGGAAAACCTCTCCGACTTTTTATCCATTTTTCAATTTGTTAATTTACCTTTTCCCTTGGCACAAGTTGTGGTAAGGCATCGGTACCTACGAAGTTCAGTGTGGCATCATTAGTATTTAAACTCTCCAAATCGTATACTATTCAGGATCTTCACAAGGGCAATGTGAATCAAAAAACAGAATCATATATGACCTTTCGAATGACAGAACCCATACCAAGCATTAGAGAAATTCTATTATTCCAGATCAAGCAAGAAACTCTTGGCTTTACTATTTACTTACAAGTTACGTTATTCAATCAAATGTTGTGAAACAAAACCACCAACCTCAACTGTACGATCATATTTTCATAAAATTTCTGATCAAGAATTGAAGTTCATCATTTGAAAGCTAGAGGAGACACAGCATGGTCTGCTGGTAGCAGATACACACTATTCATATGCTTAGCAATACACCACCATGACAAGTACAAGAATAGATTATATAAACTAGTAAGGGATGCACCCCAATAAACACCAAGGAAATTCCATTATGTTAGCTAGACAACATCTCTGTTGACAACTTACAACCTCCCAAAAGAACTACAAAAACAGAAAATCCCGAAAATTTCATATTACATGCCTTGCATGAGGAATAGAGAGGTCTATCAAAGAAAGCAACGTCTTCAACAGTCTCAGAAGGATAGAGATGCTTATGACACAACAAGAACCTAATCCAACAAATTACTTGTGCACAGTAACCAAACTCCTAAAACATATTACATGCCCCTTGTGCAACCATTATTGGCAGGAAAATAAGATACGTGTCAGACCGAGCGCGACATATGACTCATATAAGCGACTCCAAATAACGGGATGAAGGCTAGTTGCGATGCATACATTATTGACACTGGAACATGAAAATTAAGGCCCCTGGCCTAAGTGTCACTTTCGAATCGAATTCCGCATAATCAATTTATAGATTGCTGAAGCATATTCCCATGCAAGATTCAGTCCGCAGTCCTCCCAACAACAAAATTTCCATTATTAAACCGAAACAACAGCTCTGGAAAAAAATTACCTTCGCAACGCAACATATACATTTCAAAATTCGGTCTTGGATTGATTGTAATGCACTTAAAATGAAAAGGTTATCAAGAAAGCACCATGACCCAAAAAGTTTCACTCAAGAGTGAAGCTCAATTGAAGAGGTTATCAAGCAAAGCTGCGGTGCACTACCCCTCTATACCAAAATAACATCTCCCGAGAAATGAACTACAGCAACTCACAATTTTGCAAACTTTTCATCTTTCATTCATTACATTGCATTAAGATTAATTAACCTCATTAAGGAATCATTCTCCCCATTACGAATCCATCTGGGCCGGAGCCTTAACCAATAAAGACAGCTCCTTTACAAACAAAAAAATCTTGGCACTCAGGCTAAATAAGATAAAGATTTAAAGGGAAATATTCCCTAAACGAAGAGAAAAGAGGGAGGGAGTAAATAGACATACTTGAAGGGAGCAAGAACTGGAGGAGAACAAGGGCCAACCACCCTGGCAGAGGCGGAGGGAGCCACTACTTTAGCTGTTTATTTTCTTTCATTAAAATGTTAACAGATTTTTCCAATGAAATTTTTTGCTGCCTCTAATTAATTACAGGAAAACCCAAAGATGGCTGAGCATAGAGAGTTGGATTTTTGGGTATTTACCAGACACACACGCATATGACAAAATACGCCCTAAATCAAATAATTAAAGTAGAGAGGATTAAATCAAACATTTCTTAAAGTAGAGAGGATCAACTGTGTAATTTTGTTCATTTATGAAAAGAGCCCCAAAGCTTCACTGACTTCCGGTTGCCTAAATAAACCCCCCGGGTTTAGTTCATAGTTCGTTCTCTCGTCCATCTCCACGGATAGAGATCCGGTATATTACATTTTCCAGCCGCCGGCCGGCGTCCTCCCGGCCTATCCGAGAAATAAACTTCCTCCTTCAATTCCTCAAAGTGTCACTATTCGGTAAAGCTTTCTTTTTTCTTCTTTTTTTTTTTTTTTCAATATTCTACTTTTTGTTTTGTGGATTTGTAACTCTTATTTTTCGGTGATTTGCATCATCTCTTTTGTTAGTGAGCTTGAAGAATCGTTATATTACTCTTTGAGTTTGTTTCATTCTTTTTAGCGAAGTTTTCTTTCAATGATTGTGACCCAATGTATTCACATTCACCCTCCCTTTTGGGTTTGTGTGTGCTTTTTGTTTAGACTTTGCAGTTTGCAGCACCCAAAAACGATTTGATGGAAAAATGGAATGGGTTTTTATCAAAGATGTAACCTTTTTTTATTTTGTTCTTGTTCCGGGAAGAAGGTGTGTTCCTGAAATAATTTTGGTTTGTTTCTTTTCTTGGCCTGAAATAAGTTTTTCTGCATTTAGCCTGAAGAATTATATTGTTAACTGTGCCAATTCTGGTCATCGTAAGGGTTGGTTGGTGTGTAGTGTGTGTGTTTGAGGTCGTAGTCTTGAAACCTAGACGATATGTAGATGAATAAGAGATAATTTCTTCTGTAGATTTGAGTAAGGAACTTTGATTCTAATAGGCCAGCATTAATAAAGTGAGTAGCTTTTTCCCATCCATTTTATCATATCATTTGTGGGCTTTTTTAGGGAAGATACTCAGAGATCATCCTAAGGAGAGTCCTAAGTACTTTTTGCAGAAGTGGAATTGCTAGTCAACGTAATCAGGCTAAAGAGTTTTTGCGAACTAAAAAGTTCAGTACTTGTGGGTGTAGAATGCTGCAAGCTGCACATTGTTTCTTTCATATTTAGCTCTTGTTTCCAAAGAGGAAGTTTCGGTTCTTGTATAATACAAAGGAGTTATATTGGTCATGGGCTTTGGCAAAATGTTGAATCACCCTCCTGATCACTGATGGACTACACGAGTCATCGTGCTCTGTCAATGCACATAATGAAACTGATCACTGCTGCTGGAGTTTCAGAAACAGTCACAACAGCAGCTCTTGATGTATTTGTTTTGTATTATCGACGATGTTGGAGTCAGTTTGCATCCAAAAGTTGAAAAATGGATTACAATTCCTGACTATTTTATCTTAATGTGTTCAGGGTTCTTTGCAGTTTGATTTGTGTTTGAATAATAAAAATGAGCTTAGGGAGCTTAAAAAGTGTGCTTGCTGAGGCAGCCATGAAGGGGGTTACTGAAGCAAGGGCACGAATATTCGGTCACATACTTAACCCATCTGGTCAAAGATCTGCGCACAAAATTTTGCGCAAGAAGCTCATCGGAGAGAAGGTTTCACAATGGTATCCTCATGATATTAAGCAAGACGATCCTCTTGTCATGGCGCAAAAGGAGCAAGAGTAATCTCCTCTTTTCCCCTTTTCACTTAAATTTTTCTTGCTTCTGAAATGTGCCTGTTTATAATGTCTAATAATGCTTATATGCTGGTGTCATCCCTGGCTTTTCTGTTTTCGTATACTAATTTTTGTTATGATATGCTAGCAACAAGAACAATGAGGCCTTTTTGGATTTTAGTTTTGGGGTCCATTACTTAAGTCTTAAATCTGGGATCATTCAATTTGAGCATTGTTTGGTAGATTAGATGCTTTAGGAAGCACATGATGCAATTCTATTTGGGTCAGTTTTGGTTCAAATGAAGCGTTTCTACACCGGTGTAACAGTTAGAAATAAGATTTTATTCTTTGATAAAATCTATGGATAGCCCTGAAGGTTTTCGTGTGTCATTTTACAGAGTGAGGCTGCTATGTTTGATCTTCATAATTTGACCCTTCACTGGACCCTATGCATATCAAGAACTTCTATGCGAGCTACTTGTTTGTTTAGCAGAACATATTGACTGGATTCCATGTCCTAATGCAAGATTTGGGTATAATCATATGGTGGTAGCCATAATTCGTGTCGATGTAATAGTATAGGTACTTCTTACTAAATACAGGTACCATTTTCAAAAAAAAAAAATGGTGGTAGCCTCAGCATATACAGATAGACTTCTATATTATTACTGCCATCTCCTTTCCAGAGTTCCACCTTATGTTTCTTACTGCAAGTAAATTCTTGCTGTTCAATAACATGTATTTGCAGCTGGTGGTGTTTCCTTTTTTTTGCCTGATTAAATTTCTTGAAGTAAATGCTGTGTTTATCATTGTAATCATAGAAAGGCTCATCTACCAGCAGTGTTTTTTCCTACTTACATGTTTTGTGGTTATACGATTTTTTACTTCTGCATCTATACTTGGCAGGCGTTTAAGCAAGCTTGAGATGTTAAAACGTCGTGGAAAAGGACCGCCAAAGAAGGGTCAAGGAAAGAAAGCTGCAAAACGCAACAAAGTCAGCTCGAAGTAAAAACCCCCTACTGATGTGGAATGTGTTGGGTTCTGGTTGTATCAGAATTGATGAAAACCATAGCACCGAAATATGATGGTTATATGTCCGGACTTCTGACTTGGAGCTTACTGACCGGTTGATTGGCAAATACGGGGTGCTGTTTTAGGTTCAGAAAATTTTCGATTACATTTTGTGTTACTATATTCCAAATTTGTTGATTTTGTTCCCTTCTACTCCCTCGTGCATTTGATTTTGATTTCTTCCATTTGCGTTCCTTGATCAGATGTACACATTTTCTCATGATTTGAAAATAGCTGATGATGACATTCTCTGTTAGTGTAACTAGTATGTGTCTCGCGCTTTACTTGGGTTTGTCAATGTTGAAAATTTATCTTTCAAAAGAATTAATTAGATAATGTAGTTATTAATATTTCTTAAAATTGTAATATTTTTTTGATTAATAAATTTTAGATCAAAATGAGAAGCATTGATATTATTTATGAGATGTATATTTGTAAAATTTGGTCAAAAATATTACAACAAAGATTTTCAAAAGTTATATAATAAAAGTTATCACCACTAACGAATGTTATGTTTGGATTAAAAAATATATTTAAAAATGTGTAAATTATGTCTAGATGCCTATGATTTATTTATAGGCAAAGAGACTTTGAGGAGATGTAATTCTAATAAAATATGAGACACAATTAATCGTCATTGAAAATGTAAAATTGATAAACTTGAAGACTAGGTAGCAAATGAAACTTTATGGGCCAAAATGATAATAGATTGAAAGTTTAAACTCGTTAATGAAAATACTTCTCAAGTCGAGAGTTTCTCAGCAATTTTCAAAAATATTCATTTTCAAGCTCATAATTAGGAATTTGTAATATCTGTAAAAATTTTATATAATAATAATTTATTAACTGTTTACATAAAATTTTAACTAATTAATGATAAAAACAATTAGCAAATGACACGTATTAATTAAGACTTGATGGTCTCAATAAGCAATACATATCAATTATGTTTCTTTCCTTTAATATATATATAATGATGTTTCTGAAAATAAAGGAGAGCTAAAAAAAATGTTTAGTCTTCTTATTAATTCATCATGAAGTAGTGAGCTTTGCATCAGTACAAAGCTGATAAAGTAAATTGTTCCTAGTTTAGGAATTTAGGTTGTAAGATGAAGGATTGTGGTCAACACAAACAGCATATTAATCCGACCATTTGCCAAAAATCCTTCTTCCACTTGTCTTAAATACTCTCCCTGTCTTAAAAAAGAAAATAATATTTATATTGAGTTTTGAGATTTGCACTGAAAAGAGTACTTCCTCTGTCCCAAAATTATTGTCCAGTTTGAGATTTCACTTTTAGTACAATTTGAACTACCCAAACTGAACAATAATCATGGGACGGAGGGAGTACAAAATTTCAAAATTCAATTTGACTATAATTTTGACACAATATTACTTATAAATCATCAACTTCTTTTGAGAGAGTTATTCGACCGATGAACATGACAAGTAATTATTAAATAACATAATACTCCGTTCGTCCCATAATTAATCTCCAGTTTGAGTTTTCATTTATAGTTCAAATTGCATTAAAAATAAAATCTCAAATTGGATAATAATTTTGGGACAGAGAGAGTAGTAAATAGATAAGCTAAAATGCAATTGTAGTTTTTACCAATACAAAAATAGATCCATGTTTATTGTATCAAATTTCATTAACAAATTCACTGAAGGCTAAGGGGCTTTGTTATCTTGTTGTGTAACAAGGCATAACAATAATCAGTGTTATTAGCTCATCTAGTAGAATATAATACAGTGGTACTTAGAACACACACACACACACAGATCATGTGCTGTCCCGAACCTCACTCCCTATTAGTGCAAGCACTGCAGAAATTGGTACTCTTCACTCACATTGTTTTGTTTTTTTGTCTTTGCTTTCCCTCTTTCCTTACACCCTCCAAAGCTGACATTTTCATGTGTCTCTTTAATTAATTAATTAAATTTATTTAATTAACAAAAAACTCCACGTTATGACAGCAGTGCTACTGGAGCGAGATTCACAGATACCTTCCTTTCTGACTCCCTCCAATTCAAAAACTTCCAGGCAGCCTGACCTTATTTCTTTCTTCTTTTTAGTTTCAAGTTTCAGAGAAATCTCTATACGCAAATAAATCTCAAATCACAAGCAAGAAGAAGAGTTATTGACAATTTTTTTTTTCCCCTTACAAGAAGCCCTCTGGAAAATCTCTTATTGGGAACAATCTTCTGATGCCAGCCTGGGCATCCCTGATCAAAATTCGAGTCTCTGAAGAAACCCTCTAAGAAAAATCCAATTTTTATGCGCTTCTGGGCATTCCTGATCGAGTTTGAGCCCAGTTACAAGTGGAACTCTTAGGAAAAATCTCATCTTGGGGCAGTTTTCTCATGTCATCCTTTGCATCCCTGATCGAGAAATCTTCTCTTTGGGCCCTTTCTGATGAGTCCTGATCGATTGTGAGTCGTGGGTTTGGTGGGAAAATCGTTCAATTATTGTTAGGTTTTGCGAATTTTAACATTTTTAGTTTTGTTGTTGCCCTGAGCTAGTTTGAGATTCACTTCACTGGGGGCCGGGGCCGGCAAGTAAAAAATGGACCTGTGAAAAAAAAGCTCCCAGGAGCATTGAAGAAGAAGAAGAAGATGAGGAGGCGGGCAGCCGAATACCGGCGCCCGATTAGCATTGGTAGTCGGAGGAGGTTTCTGACTTGTTGTTGGATCTGGGTGCTACTTGGGACATTCTTAATTGCAGGATTCTTGTTGTTTGTTTCTCATCATAATTATCAGCATGAGGATGATCATCATGTGGAACACCACCACCCCCTCATCTCGGTGAGACTGATTGGATTCTTCTTCTCACCTTTATTTGTTTATTTTTATTAGGTTTGTTTCCTTTGAAGCTTGTCATTATAGTTTTGAAACCTCTCAGTTAATTTTACTGAATTAATTGGGTTTGTTATGCTTTCCTTGCAAAAATTAAGTCTTGGGTTGGATCTTGACATGTTACTAAATTTATGGGATGTGAAAGGTGTTCTCTTTACCCCATTTTCTATTGATTCTTTTTTTTTTTCTCTCCTGGTTGCCATATGCATATGATGAACAGAAGACTGAAACTTAGAGGAAATGAGGATTTGAGATGGATATGCGTTTGTGTTAGATTAGATAGATTGAGTGATTGAATGCATTCGAGAGGAAGTGAGGCAGCGTAGACATTAACGAAAGGAAGTGTGGTAGTGTAACTAGATGGAAACAATGGAAGTAAAGATGTCTAAGATGGTTTAGGCATACTTAGAGGACCCCTCTTTGGGGAACACATACTATGAGAGCAATGAGAAAAATTTGTTATCACTAATCATCATAGTTGTTGTGGCTGGAGAAGAAGAGAAGCGGATGCCTAAGATTCACTCCAATTGCATGTAAGGCTAGCAACTACTTAGCTGGGGTTAGATGTTAGATAGCGCTTTTGTTTTTTGAGAATGTGATTCCCTCTGATTTTATTCGCTTCTCAAGATTTTGAAGAGATTTGTGTGCCGGGAAGATTTATAAACCTGGAAGCCTTGTGATCATAATAAATGATTGAAAGATTTTCCGGCAATGGTTTTGAGATTCATCATGTTTGTCGAATGACAAAGTTGCATGGACTATTATGTCTGGTTCAATCAACCTCTATATGGCTGATGCTGTGGTTTTATTTTGTTTGATTCTTGAATTCAGATGAGTTCCACTTGCACCACCTTAGTAAGCTTAGCTGGAGGTCTTGAGTGACAGTGAATTAGGAAGTACTGCTCTCTTGTGAAAAACAAAGTGAAGGTGGAGATTACCTTACAAACCGTTTATAATGCAATATGTAGTCTCCCTTGTTAAGTGAGATAATCTACATGTCTGGAAGAAACTAAAATGTGCATAGTTGGGAGACAATGTTTATTGGTAAGATGAGTTGTTAGAGGCATTTTCTCTTTGCTTAGTTTCTTTTTTCCAGGGTTGTAGAAATCCATCCCATAGGGTTTGCTTTCTGCCATTATCTTTAATTTATGGAGGCAGGTTGATGATTAGAAAGTGGTTGTTCAGCCTAGTTCATTATTGCTTAAGTTGTTTCAGGCTGGTGGAGTAGATGAAAGATGAACCAAAACAATTTCCATTTCTGTGCACTTATTTCGGAAAATCAGTTGAACTCATTTAGGAAATAGAAAGTTTTTCTTGTTCTTTCCCTAAAAGGTGAAGATAATATGATAGTTTTGATGTGATGTGTCTGAATAACCATTTTTTTGAAGATTGAGTATGGAAGATAATGAGCACAGGTTTTATTAGTGATAATTGTTCGGAACACACTCGTAAAAAACTGGAAACAAAAAGTTAGGTTGGTGGGTGGGCGTACCTCAATAATTAATAATACTTCTGGAGATCACCTTTATTTTCTTGGTAGTATGAAGTCATACCGAGAAGGATCTTTTTGTTCTTTCTTTGATTGAGCATCAAGCTCTGTTTTTAGTTATCCCCTGGTTGAGTGCTTTTAAAAATATCGAATAAACCAAACACCAAGAATCATAATAAAACCAATCAGATTTTATACCAAATGCGGTAGTTGTAATCGTAATTCCATTAGTATTCAACCATTACAGCTATATTCTAATGCGTTTCCTTGACCCAGCTGACAAAACAAACGCCTCCTAAATTTGAAAGTATTGATGTGTAGTCAATTATGTACCTTTTTTTTTGGATTGTTGCCTGAAGTTTTGCAATGAAAATTTGTTTGTTGGCCTATTTTTGTTTTCTGTTTTTCATTTGGAGAAAGGAACCTGGGCTCTGGCTCTTGTTTTATCAGTAATTTAAATTTCATTCAGTTAGAAAGGGGGCAGTTGTTGAAGCCAGAAAGACTCTTGCGCAAAACTGAATTAGAATCAAATTTCATTTGTCATGCGGAGCTGTTTATGGGTTATTGTTGTTGAAATTCGTTGCCTAAAATTATGCACTTCTTTGCACCTTTTGAAGACTAAATGTGTGTGTGCATATTTGCGGATATAAAGCTCTCTAGTTTGTTAAAAGATTGAATGCGTGCCAGTGTAACAGCTGATATGTATACCTGCTTATCAAGAAACGCGTAATGGATTGATATGCATCTTGTGTTGACACTTTGATCTGGTCTGTTTCGGATTTCTGAACTTAATGTAATCATGTTTATTTTATTTGGTATTTTCATTTTTTTTTTAAAAAGTACTGTTTGTTCCTGTTTGAGTTAGAAAAAAAAAAAAAAAGTATCCTGGAAAATTCTTGCTATCTGCTCGAGCATGTGGATGATTTTCCTGGGTGTAATAGTGTCAGGCAAATCTTGATTTGATAAAGTACTTGGGATTTGCTAATTTGTATTTAAACTTTTCCTTTCGGTGTTTTCGCTTGTAAATACTTCGAAAATTTGACATGCAGAAACTTTTTCCCCTATAATTGTCAGGAGAAGAATTCTGGAAGTGAACATATTTCTGTTGAAGAACGGTTGAATTTCACTGAGCAGCTTGTGAGTGCTAGATCATATGCCAGACAATTAGCAGAGCAAATGACGCTTGCCAAGGCTTATGTTGTTATTGCAAAGGAGCATAATAATCTTCATCTTGCATGGGAGCTCAGTTCAAAGATCAGAAGTTGCCAGTATTTACTTTCAAAGGCTGCCATGAGAGAGGATCCAATTTCCCTTGAGGAAGCCGAGCCAATAATCAAAAGCCTTTCTTCTTTAATTTTCAAAGCGCAGGATGCTCATTACGATATTGCAACGACAATGATCACTATGAAATCCCACATCCAGGCTCTTGAAGAGCGTGCAAACGCAGCATCTGTCCAGAGCACAGTGTTCGGTCAAATAGCTGCTGAATCACTCCCGAAAAACTTGCACTGTTTGGATATTAAACTCATGGCCAATTGGCTCAAGGAATACTCGTTGCAAAAGCGTGCAGATGAAAGGAGGAATTCTCCCCGGCTAACTGATAATAATTTGTACCACTTCTGCATATTCTCGGATAATGTGCTTGCAGTTTCTGTTGTTGTCAACTCTACCATTGCTAACGCTGATCACCCACAGCAGCTGGTTTTCCACATTGTGACAAATGGAGTAAATTATGGGGTTATGCAAGCATGGTTCTTGAGCAACAACTTCAAAGAGTCGACAATTGAAGTACAAAACATAGAAGATTTTGCTTGGTTGAATGCATCATACTCCCCGGTAGTGAAGCAGCTACTTAATGGAGAATCTCGGAAGTACTACTTTGAAGGATTAGAAAATGCTGGGGTCGAGCCTAAATTTAGGAACCCAAAGTATGCGTCCTTGTTGAATCACCTTCGCTTTTACATCCCTGAGATTTATCCGCAGCTGGAAAAGGTAGTGTTTTTAGATGACGATGTTGTGGTACAGAAGGATTTGACTCCTCTATTTTCTCTAGATTTACATGGAAATGTGAATGGAGCTGTTGAGACCTGTCTAGAAGCATTTCATCGTTATTACAAGTATCTCAACTTCTCAAACCCGCTTATCAGCTCTAAGTTCGATCCCCAGGCCTGTGGGTGGGCCTTTGGGATGAACATTTTCGATTTGATTGCCTGGAGAAAAGCAAATGTGACGTCGAGGTATCATTACTGGCAGGAGCACAATGCCGATAAAACTCTGTGGAAACTCGGGACGCTTCCACCGGGCCTCTTATCGTTCTATGGATTAACCGAACCACTTGATAGGAGATGGCACGTGTTGGGGTTGGGTTATGACTTGAATATTGACAACAGGTTAATAGAGAGCGCAGCCGTAATTCACTTCAATGGGAACATGAAGCCATGGCTAAAGCTGGGTATTAGCAAGTATAGGGTCCTTTGGGAACGGTATTTGAATCAATCTCATCCGTATTTTCAGGATTGCGCTACCAGTGGATGACTTAAAACTGTAGTTTTATTCATCCATTTTAGAGGTAAGTGAAGATCCTCTACTGTTTTCTTAAATTCTCAAAGCTGTAATCACATCGCATTAGGGTTAGAAAAATAGAAAATTTTGGCCTTTTTTCAAGGAGCGTACTGTATTTCACCCTCCTTTTAGTGACATATGTATTAAAGAGGAAAATTAAACATGGCAGTATTTATATACTAGGGGCATTTTTTACTTCATTTTTCACAGATTAAGATTATTTTTGTTTCTTCTCTGTAACTGTATGTTGTTCTTCTTTGCACTTTTCAAAAAAATACATAATTACTATGTTTTGCAGATTTGAGTAAAGTTCTTCATCTTCCTTTTTCACTTGTCACGCCTTTCTACTAGATTATTTCATCCTGACAGTTTAGATGTAATCCTGAGTAGATGAATTATCTTTGCTATCACATAGAAACTGTGATGTTGGGATAGGCATGGATACTTGTCCCTGTAAAGTGGTTAAAACTTTCTGCTCTTTTTCTTTTTTTTTTTTTTTTTAGTTTTTACTGCCATATTGGGCAGCTGCCTCAGCTTCAAAACTAGAAATGATGGCTGATGCTACGGACTCAATCCTGAGTTGGCGCATGTTAAACTTTCGGTAAAAGTACAGCATTTCTGATGGTTGGAAAACTGTGTACAAGATTGTACTAAATATTGTCAATCATGGGGTTTACCACTTACCATGGTACTGCTTCCTAGTCTTGCAAGTTGAATTGGACATCTATCATGTGGCAAAGTTTGTTGATCAGTTGGATGCATTAATTTTAATGTCTGATAGAAACAAAACAAAAGCATATGCAATAATGCAAATAGCACAAGCCAAAGATGTAAGGTAAAGAAGTTGGTTTTATCGTGATGGAGATCATTCTGCTAAAGATTTTGAACCTTCTCTTTTCAAGCATGGAGAAATGTGTTCTTTGAGCAGTCACTGTAGGACTAGTTATGAGATGGTTCTGGTTTAGTGCTGTTGAAATCTTTACCAAAGGGAAGTGGTCACAAAACCATTCCTGTTGATGAATCTGATATCAGTGTGATACTCCAATATGAGGATATTTTGATGAATCAAATTCTTGGGACCACTATATAATTATTGACTGCAGAGGGATGATTCAGATTCATGTAGAAAAGCTTACTATGAACTGTAACAATCAAATGATGATTGTTCCTCTAGTCGTGCTCTCACTGAAAATTGTATGCACAAAAAGGGTAATTTTGCACATGACATTCCTTCAGTAAAGAAAGTCACCTTCGGTGTTGTGTAGGTTTAGGAAAGTGGGAATTTTCTTCCTCTTTCCTTTTTTTTTTCTTCGTTTTGCATTGGGAAATAACTCTACTGGTGGGTTTTGGGGTCCTGATTGGAAAATTCATCCACAGGATTAGAATTCCCAAGTTCCTGCAAATTGTATAGTTCTTTGTTCTGGTTTCTGGGATAGTTTTTGTAACTTCTGTTGGGGTCCTGATTGGAAAATTCATCCACGGGTGTCGTTGTAACTTCTGTTAAAGTCTCAATTCTCAATGTTGTGACCTGTGAGCTATTAGCAGTCAAATTTGGGGGCCCTAGTTGAATTCCATCTTTTCACTGTTGGAGCAATCATTTCTTGCCTTACCTTTTGTGTCGGTTTTGGTTTTTTTTTTCACTAAAGAAGTGGCTCACTAAAGAAGTGCACTATCTCAGCTTTGGTTTGCTTTATTTTCTTGCCCTTGTGCACTAAAGTTGCTTTTAAATAACGGGGCTGATGCTCATATACTTGGTGCACCAAAGCGAGATTGTCTTTGTGGTGAGAATTTTGAGTGGAATCTTGCTAACTAGTTCAAGCTAGCCCTAATGGCAATCTCCCCTCTATCTTTAGCCACTCAAAGTTTACCTTCCATTGGTGGTTTTGGCATGAAATTTGACAAGCATGTTCGACAGGAAGAAGGCGGTGAGGAAACCCTTGATGATAAGTTGTCTTTTTCAGGTTTGGTTTCACTGCTGCCGAAGGAAAGAGGATGGTTAAGTGAGCACATTCATCAATACCAAGGGTTTTGGTACTCCACCGGCGTCCTCAAGGGACTCTTGATTCTGCAACAGCATTTTCAGGCGCAACCAAGTGACATTCTGTTGGCTAGCTTCCCAAAATCCGGGACAACATGGCTCAAAGCTCTCATTTTTACCCTAACCAACCCGACATGCCTGGATCATCCCGAGAACCCGCTGCTCAGCGCCAATCCTCATGAGTTGGTACCCATGTTGGAAGGCTATGCAGCCCAACACCCTGATGATCCGAGGCCAAAGCTATCATCTTCTTCTTCACTCATGCACACTCACATTCCTTATGTCTCATTGCCAGAATCTGTGAAAGAGTCAGGTTGTCGTATTGTGTATGTGTTTCGCGACCCAAAGGACGTGCTAGTTTCGTGCTGGCATTTTGTGAACCGGCTGAGACCAGAGACAGTTGCGCCAATCTCTCTAGCTGATGCATTTCAGCAGTTCTGTAGGGGAGCCTCGCCCTACGGGTCGTTCTGGGATCACGTGTTGGGATACTGGAAAGCTAGCATTGAGTGGCCTAAGAGAGTGTTGTTCTTAAGGTATGAAGACCTAAAGAAAGAGCCGTGTGTTCATACAAAGAGGCTTGCGGAGTTCATAGGGCATCCGAAGACGGAAGAGAGCGGAGGGGATGAGGAGGAAAGGGTGCGGCGAGTGGTGGAGTTTTGTAGCTTTGAGAAGCTGAGCAACCTGGAGGTGAACAAGATGGGATCACACTCTGGGTTTGGGTTTCCGGTGATTGACAACAATATATTCTTCAGGAAAGGCACAGTTGGTGACTCCCACAATCATCTCACCAAACAAATGTGTGATGAGTTGGATGAGATTACTAAGGACAAGTTCAAGGATTTCGTTTGATAATATTATACTCGCTTCGTCCCAAAATTATTGTTCACGAGTACATATTTCATCTTCATTCGTTTCCCTACCACCACCATCATCGTCCTATCTATGCTTTCTACTTGGATTTCACCTGTTTGAATCATCTTCATGTATTGTTCTACTGCTGCTGTTTCACAAAGATTCCAACTTTTCAATTTTTTGAGTATCACCGTGCCATATTTTTATTATGTGTGTTCCTTTTTTCCTTTTTTTTTTCCCCTAACAATAATATTTTAAATGATAACAAATTGGATATAAAAGAAGAAAATTCCAATAACACGTGAAATCACGCTTTACTTGAACCAGATTAGTGAGCAACCAAAAAGATTAATCATTCATTGCTTCTTTATAGTTTATACAATATACATTAATTTAAGGGATTATGTTCGGTACGACATAATTCAAAATTTCAAGCAACCAATTATCGAGTAATCGTGACAGAAACTAATAATTTTTATTCACATGGATCGTGTCATGTAACTAACAAATACATCAAACAAACTGAGCCAAGAATATCTGTAGGGTGAAAAACGATGTGTGCTTACCACATTTTCCGTGTGTTAGTATTCTTGTCGTGACCATGGAGGTTTAAATTTAACCCTCCTCCATCTCCATGTGATGATTTCCAGTCTCCGTCACAGAACCGATTGTTCAAATTAAATTTTTATTTTTAATGATAATATTATACTAAATTAACTAGACAGTTATTTTAAGATATGAGAGTACAAAACAACACCTACAACAAACATTAATAACAAAGAACCCACAGGCCACAATGGAAGAAGAAGAAGAAGAAGGAGGAGGAGGAGGAGAAGTTTGATCAAAGCTACTGTCCTTTTCAGTTTGGTCTGACTAAAACGTAGATTTGAGAAATCCCGGGAAGGGGGTGGAAACAACAAAAAGTTGGCACACAGAGGTAGACGCCAATCAAGTCATTATCAATGGTTCCATATTTGATGTGCCACTTAGATGACCTTTTTATTAATTTGGAAATGACTCACAATGGCCCGAAATGGTTGCTGGGTTCCTTTGCAATTCTTATGATAGAGATTTGACACATTTGGCATTAACATTTTGTTTTGTTTCGCACAGTTTAATTCGTTTGATTTCAACTTTTTGGTGTAAAATTTATTTTAATTAGTGGACCACTTACTTATCGTCAAATATGATAATTACTGATTATTTATATTATTTAAAACAATAATTAAAATAATTACTATTTATTAGAATTTTATCTAGAATCAATTTGTTATTATAATTATCCCTTGATGGATGTGATAACCATGGCTGACAACAGAAGAGTCCTAACCTTATCTATATAATTATGCCAGTGATATACCATCAGTACTCATGTTTTACGTAATAGGTGACAGGCTAGAAAACTGTTCTACTTTGTTTTGCAGGCATAGGGTTTTAATTCCGGTTCGTCTCTCAAACTTCAATAGCTGGAGGTAATCCTTTAAACATTTTTAGTTTTACATTTGGTATCTACTAAATTTTAGGATCCAAATACTATAGATTGATCGCAGCTCTCAAATATCATGTGTTGAATTTTTCTTCTTTCGTTTCTCTTTTTAATGTAATGAAGGAAGCATTAATCTTTTACATAATCACAAATCTTACTCTTTATTTTTTATTTTTTCAGTACAATATTATAATAATATTATACTTCATTCTTCCCAAAATTATTATCCAGTACCAAGAGAGTACATATTTCATCTTCATTCGTTTCCCTACCACCACCATCATCGTCCTATCTATGCTTTCCACTTGATTTCATCTGTTTGGATCATCATGCATTGGATTAAAAATAAATAAAAAATAAAAAACAACATTTATTATTCACTGTTGTCTGAGAAAGATTGCAACTTTTCAGTTTTAGATGGAGCATCAATCGTGCCATATTTTTATGTGTTTTTTTTTTTCCTTTTAAGCAAAACTAGGTGTTAAACTCACGCGATGTGCGTGTAAATGAATTCAAATATAATTTTTTATTAAGAATATCTGCATGATAGAATAAACATTGAACAATTCGAAATGGTTTTGTTTTATTTTTTTTCCTAATTAGGCAAACACCATTGTACATGTAAAATAATTGACATGGACTAATGTAATAAAAGAATAAAAAATAAAATGTTACTTTTAGCTGAGCAATATTTATTTTTACATCGAAAACTTAATTAAAAAATTTAATTGATTCCACCGAAAACATAAAACTTTTAGTTGATATGATTTATTGTACTTGTAACTTATACAATAGCATTCATTATTAATACATATTACAACTGTCTCCAAGAACTAATTATAGCTCATACCGTCTGTGCGTTCAAGAACTCCTTATAATCGCGTTTTTTTTTTTTTTTGCATGAAATAATGGTATTCAAGGTTGATTTTGGCCATTTTTTTTCGCACCCAAAATACATAAGATGAATCCAAAACTGAAGAAAAATGGATATTACGACTAAAAAAAGAAAAAGACAAATGGATCTCAAACCAACGAGGAGCTTTATATCAATACGATCCCGGGGTAGTATTTAGTTATTGGAAATTCTTGACAATAAACTCCTTCGATATTCATTTCCCTGCACAATAATCTCATTACCAGGATTGGCTTAAACAACTCATATAATTTTAATGGTTTGAGAAAGATAACTTAACCAGTTATTGGAATCAAAAAATCAAAGCCTTAATACTCACTTAAAATTTCAAAACCCGCTTTTATACCAAACCCGTTCAAAATAAAAGTATATTAAAAATATTTTCAATGAAAGATTAAATTAACAACTAAACTCTAGCACAAAATCATACATAGGGATGAACCAAAGCCCTCAACATCGGCCTTTTCCGATTTGAAGCCTGCTAGATTAAGTCCAATGATTGCGAAAAAGTTATTCGCGAGTGTTGGAGTGAGGACATGGATTCCGTTTTTGAAGAAAATGAAGTCGTGGTGAATTTGGTCTTATGAATTCTCCAAAATAATTGATCCCCTGAAAAATGACATCGGCATAATATAATACATGAGAAAATTAATTTTATAAATTACTGGAATACATCAATAACCCGTTGGGCTTTAGTTCGCATGTACTGTCTTTTACCATATCATAAAAATCCCTAATGAAAGATATTAACAAAAGGAATCATTCAAATCATCTACACACAAATAAAGTAGGCCAACCTGATAAATGAATTAATGAGCAATCTTTGTGCAACTGTTGATAGCGAACTATATAATTAGAAAGTTTCATATGAAAATCAACTCCCATGGAATCCTACAGATGGAGAAAAAATGTGATGAGTTATCTAATTTATAGTGGTATGAGGTATTCATTTCTTATCAAATGATTTGATCCATCTGTGGTGTAACCAAATTTTTACGTGATCAATTCCATGATTTTAGGTTTTTTATTCACTTCCTAATATAATGATTTTCAAAAACCAAATGTGTGTATATCGAAGATAAGATCGTACTACTAGGAAATTAATTGACTTCTATAATTGGCTTCTATAATTGGTAAGGTTTGAATCAAATATATTAGCTGTAGATATTTTCTATCGACCATTCTCCTTAAATGTGGCAATTATGGGAATGAATAATATTTGAATTTGAAAATAAAGTTTTAATGCTAAGAATCGTAATTATGGAATCGTAAATAAGTGGGCATTATTCATTATTATTATGACCATATCATGTAGTCTTAATTTTCCTGGTGATAACAAATTATGAATTAATATAATATTAAATGGTAATTGCAGGATTAAGTTATTACGTTGTCAATAATGGTTGATTTCATTGTATCTTTCAATAAATGTTTATTCCGGTAAACTTTTATTTATATAAAATTCTAAGGACTTTTAGTGTAATTGAATAAAATTTTATTTTTGTCATTTGTTAGAAAAATGACACATAAGATTTTATCGTATGTAACACCTTTAGAAATCTCTTTTGTTTTCTCTCTCTGATTTCTCTTTTAGTATAATATACTATAGATAATAGATAAATTAAACTACTATAGAGTATTCACAATAAACCATAATAAATTGAATATAAAAGTAAAGAATTTTCGAAACACATGAAATCACATTTACTTGAACCAGTTCAGTGAGGGACCAAAAAGATTAATTATTGCTTCTTCATAAAGTAGACAAAGTATATAGATGATTATGATATTGGCCACTACTTGTAGAGTGGAGAGCACAAACAAGTTGTTAAAGGAATGGCTCGGCACTGCAAATGCTTCTTTTGAAATGGTTTGGCACATGGTTCACATGTTACTGGAGACACAGCTTACACAAATAAGGTACTGGATTTTGACCTCTTTTTAGTTAATTTGTGTGTTTAGTTTGTTTAATTAATTTGTTATAATTCTTCCACAGGGAGAAATTGCAAGAATCAAGGCAGAAAATTGGGAGGCAACACAACAAGTACCCTTTCTACCAATTAAGATGCAATGTTTCACACTACTGCTTGGATCTATTGAACAATGAGTTGGAAAGGGCACAGCAACTCGGAGATGATGTGTATTGAGAATGCAATCATTACCTGAAGCAAACTCATTCCATCCCTTGTGCATGTATACTTAAGCGTATAATGGAGGCCAACGAGATTTTGACTCCAAAATACTTACACCAATTTTGGAGCATACTTGACATCGATGAGGTTACAGAGAAGGATAGTTCGGATTATATTCCCCCTCACAGATTGTTGTTTAGGCAGTTAGTGAAAGAATTGGATGCTGCTGAGGAGCCAATACAGCGCGAGATCACTAGATTGATGTACAACAAACTTCACCCGGGCCAAGCCGGATCAAATGAACCGCGGGTTGGAAAGAAAGGCAAGGGCAGGCTGAAAAAAAGAGGCATCTCAAAAAAAAGCAAGACAAACCAAATGTGTGGGCATACAGGGACGGCAGTCAGGGTGGCACCAATACCAGCGGTTCCAGTAAAGCAGGTACGAGCCAAGGTACCTCGGGTCAAGGTGGGATGAACACCCACAGTTCCAGTAGAGACCATACGTCGGGAGCTGAAGATCAGAGCAGAGGTCCGATATTACTTTATCTTTTTAAATGTGCAACATATGATTTTACTTGGTTTAATTCAAGCACTTTTGTTACATGGCGTGCGAGAGCAGGTACATGGACTGGGCAAGGTGGGACGAACACCAGCAGTTCCAGTAGAGGCCACACGTCGGGTTATGAACCCAATCGCGGAGGTAAGATTATAGTTTATATTGTTCTTAAATACTGATATGTAATCCAGAAATAATGATATTATTTTACTTGGTTAAAGATGTGATGCAGACAGACTTTTTCAAGTTTAGGCATAAGAATAAGATTCCAGATACTCCACAATCATGTTCAGTCACATCTGATGTCGCTCCTGACGGCAATTGTGGTTTCCGCGTCTTTGCGAGTTGCATGTTGGGAGGGCAGAATAATCATGTTTTGTGCAAACAGATAGTGTATGATGAGGTTATAAATAACCCTGGGTTGTACGGGAACCTTTACGGGTATGAATAGCCAGTTTAATTTTGTGAGCGGTTTTAATCCACTTGCATCAATGTTGTTTTATTTAAAACATTCCTTTACTTATCTTTGTAGGTGGGAAAAATTACCTGAAAGCCTAGAGCGTATACGGTGGACTAGTACCTCCGTAGGTCACTGGATGTCGACAGAGGACCTTGATGTCTTCCTAACATACTCTAGAACGGGCTGAAATTGGGACCAATTATGCTCCAGAAACTGTACTTTTTCTTCGTATTCTTCCCGATTTGCAGCTTCAATCACTATTTTAAAGGCCTTGTACGCGAAACGTTTTGCTACATGGACATTTCCGTTCAAAATTCTTTTCACATTTTTTTCAACATCCCTGTAAACGTGCCACGTACACAACAAGTGATGTGATGATGGAAATACATCATCAAGAGGCCTCATCAGTATAGGCTCCCGATCAGTCACGATGACACTCGGATGCAGATCATCGCCATACAAGTTAAGGAGCTGCCACAGCGCCCAATGGTAGCTGTCCCCTGTCTCATCATTCAGAAGAGCATATGCTGTAAGGAAGGTCTGATTGCAAGGGGTCATTCCAACAAACTCCACAAGAGGCATTTTATATTTGTTTGTGTTGTATGTGAAATCTACACAAACAACCCAAGGATACGTCCGCAACATCAACAAAGAATCCGGATGTGTGAAAAACACGTGGGATAACCTCTGTGTCTCTTCATCGCACTCTGTGAAGATGATGTATTTGTGTTGTTCTGCGACCTCTAACACCTTTTCCACGACGTCCATGGCAGCCAGGTCATCTAGAATTGGAAACCCCTCCTTACGCAATTGATTTTTGTAGTTGTAGACTTGTTTGGAGGTAACCTTTTCATCAGGAAATTGTGTCCATATCGCCCGTAAAATGTGGACTACCTTAGTCCCAGCTTTAGAGTACTCCTTAATAAGCTCTTTCACTTCTGCACTCAATGGCCTCCTGACTCGAGGTGGATCTTTCAATGAATGGTTGTGCATTCCCCACGGACCTGGATATACACGGATCGCCTACCTATCATATATCTTGTAAATAGTAACGCGAAATAGGCATTCGGTCATCTGTGTCTTTGTATTGACTCGGGCGCGCACATTTTCATCCACTGTTGACCTTGGTACCGTCCTCCTTTATGACAAAGGAGTATAGTACTATTATCCTTGTGCGATGATACACTTAACTCCATGTTGTAGAGATTCGCAATACCCTTCGCATATGCAACAACTTCCTTCTTCGTAGCAAAAGTCTCGTCTGTAGCAAAAGCCGGACTATAATCGACTCCATCCCCCTGATCAAACATATCTTGCACACATTAAAAACGAATTATATCATAACTTAAATTAACTCTAATAATATTAAACCACAAATAATTTACTATGAGCAAAAAACAAAATATATAATCCGATGTAATGATCTTATACTTTAAAGATAATTAATATATACTAATAACAAATTAAATACATTATTAACAAAAAATCATTATTTTAACAAAAACCCTAAACCCTAACACCTAAACCCTATACCCATTAACATACTACCTAAACACCCATTTAACAAGAAACAAACTATTTCATACGAACATACTACATAATTAATATATTTAAAACATATAACAATCTAAATACATTGTTAATAAGAAATTAAGTCATTTAATATAACAACTACAACCTATGAACAAAATACGTAATTAAAAAATATTCTCTAAATATCATAAACCCTAATTAGCATAAACCCTAATTTTCTAAACAAATATTAAACTACCAAATAAATACTCAAACAAAATAAATACATGAATTAAATAAATTTATTAAACTAATAATAATATTTATTAAACTAATAAATATTAAATATATTAAAAAATTATTAAAAAAATTATTAAATTAAAAAAAAATGGGTGGCGCCCAAACGGCCACCCATTTGCTCGCCAACCCGGACAAAGGTGGCGTGTTTCTCCTGCGCCAGCCGTTAATGGCTGGCGCGTTTCTCCCTCGCCTCCCCCTCCCCCCCCTCTTTTCGGAAAAAAAAACTTACCTCCATTTGCAGGGGCGTGTCCGTCTTTCGGGAGCGCTCAAATGAAATAATAAGGGCGCTCAACAGTTCGACCCAAAACGGAATTCGGTCTTCCGTTTTCTGGTTCTATTTTACGTTTTTTTCAATTTCCTATCTTTTTATTCTGACCGGAATTGTTTTTTCCAATTTCAATTATTTTAAAAAATAAAACAACAAACGGATATTGAAATTCCGTTTTTTAAATTATAGTTAAAAAAACAAAAAAATGCATTTCCGACACATGTTTTCAGGACCACACAAAAATAATTAAAATAAAAATTTCTTGCCCTTTTTTTTGGGGCCTATTTAGGGAAATGACCCCCATAATTTTCCAAGCATGCTTAACCAATAAAGTCTAATTGAACTCTTTCGTTGATTTAAGTCCAAAGCTATCAAGGAATTGTGATTTGCTCATCTTTTTCCATGATCTCCAATGTATACCTTTGGTATCACTATCTCCCCTCCATATAAATTTGCCAAAGATCTGATCCGTCTTTTGAAGAGTATAAACTAGAACCTCGAATATCCCCATAGAATAGACTAACATGGATGATAACGTTGTTTGGTTAGGTTATTCTACCAGATAATAATAGAAATTTCGTTTTCCTATCTGCAAATCTATTATTCAGTTTCATCATGAAAGCACTTGAATTTTTCTTTCTTCTTTACTGTGAAATCAAGTGAGATTCCTAGATATTTGGACTGGAACTGTCCTATTCAAGGTGGAGTGTATAAATGGTTTTATCATAAGGGTTGTAGTGTGGCTTCAGTCCATTACTTCTGTCTAAGAATCAGAGTACTGTTTTCACTCTAAGAATATAGTAAGTTTGTGAAGTTTTATGCCTATAATTGGATTGTTGTTGTTAATTATTTATTATAATGGTTTCTGCTCTTTTGGCCTGTAAAGCTTTTTTATGAACCTAAACCATGCAGAAAAATAAAAACCCCGGGTTACTTTTATTAGGTATTCCTTAAACATTTGTACTGCATTGGTATTGTCTAACCAAAAGTTTATGCAGAGTTTTTGATTGATATTGATGGACTGATTTTTGGTTCTTAACTTCAGTAAGATGGTTAGGATAATGAACACAATCACCATTTTGCTATCCATGTGTTATATGATGCTCCTGCTATTATATTGACTTTATGAAACTTCATGTCACTTTACACACACGTTACTATTTACGTAGCTCTACCATGGTTAGGGAAATTCAAATTGCCTGTTAGAACAATTTTTTTTTTTTTACTTTAGTGGCCGCTGTGACAGAAGCACTGTGATTATTAACTTATCATAGCAACATGAATTGTGATCCCCTTTGCTCGTCGTGATTTTTTTTTTATCAGAAGTGATAGCTTTTGAGATGTTCTTTATGAACTATGAAATGTACAGACTTTGAGTTCTCGTAATAGCTTATTATCCTTACTGTTGTTCTCAATTTGCTTCAAGTCTTGTTGGTGGATGGATATTAAGAATTACTGGTATAAAAGGGTTCTTGCCTCTGATTATGGTCTTTAGTTTGACAAAATTTCCTTGCAGCCTCTGAGTTTGAGTCATATATGTCTTCCTACTTTTGTTCTACTTGTCTTTTAGTTATTTTTGAGGGGATCAGTTTTGCTATGATAAACTTAAGTTTTTTTCTGGTACATAATTGATTTCCTTTCGGTTTCTTGAACACTACTCAATGGAGCTATGTGATTAGAATATTGTTTTTCTTGTAGGGGAGTCATGGATCAGTTTGTTGCTTTGCCATTTCGTAAAAGATTTAATGCCCTGGAGAAGGCCTACTACGAAGTGGTCTTATTGCGTGAGCTTTTGGGCAGAAATTTAATCAACGATCTTTTGTTTTGATTGGAGCCGTATTTGCTGATGCTCTGGGGCAGCTGGAACGATGCAAGGGCTAACTGCTGCACAAGAGGACTTTGTCAACCTGAGGGCTCAATTCAACATGCCACTCGCTCATCCCTTCGTCATAACTTACGGCTCTCAAGGTTTACATGTCCTTGAAGGGCTGTACACGAGAGATTTTCAACTTGTAATCAACCATGAACTCTTCTTTTCCCCATCCCCCAAATTCAACAACAACTGGAGGTTACATTCATCTATTAGACTATTTGTGTAGTTTTTCAAATAGCCTGCGTACAACCTTGACAGAGAATATATTGTGCAGAGTTTTTTCTTCTTGTTATGATTCGTTTAACTGGTAGACCTTGTCTGTAGTCTGTTACCGGAGCTTGAGTGTAGATGATTTAGAATATAAATGGTTTTGTATCATCAAAACCATTAGTCCACAAAAAATTGTAGAGCAATAATTGTGGTTCATGCTCTCTGTTTATTGAGTGCAATATTTTGGCCACATAATGTGGAAGGTTTTATGCTGTTGAAATGGGCGAATTGGATGTTTTAGTTTCACCATCTCTTTTGCCATAATGTGCAGATCTTGGACAATAAGTCTCACTGCAATGTGTGGAGAGATTATTGTTGACTCAAAAATAGCTTTATTCCTACATTTCCACAACTGCCAACAAATGAGAGAGGGGAGGAGAATCTGTAGCTTCCAAGTCAGCTTTGAAGATTGTCGTCTTGTCCACCATGTAGATGAAAGATCATCAAAATCCAAAATTTCATTGTTTGCAAAGACCATAATCGCTCCAAAATGTCTCCAATGTTTAGCATAAGAACATTCAAAGAAGTTATGCCGAATGCTTTCAACATGATTCCTGCATAAAGAACACACAGAGGGAATATTCAGTCCTGTTTTCATTAAAACATCAGCAAAAGGAAGTAACTTGTTGTGCAATCGCCACATGAAGATCGAAATCTTCAGCTGAAGCCTTTTATCCCATGTATAAGTGCATTGTTGGGATGATTCTTGTCTTTTCCACAGGTGATTGAATGCTGATTTGAGAGAGAATTTTCCAAGAGTATCATTTTGCCAAATCCAGTCATCAGCTTCATTTGATAGTGTAACATCTTTACTCTCTATTTCATTGATGTCATCCTGGAGTAGAATTCCTTGTAGTGAGTCCAGATTCCAAGCTTCATTATCAATCAAGTCTCTAACCAGCACATTAGAATTATTCCCAAGTTCTTCATCATATTTAACAGAAAGGCAACATGTGCCAAGCCAGTCATCCTTCCAAAAATTTGCATCACCATTTTTTATCTCAACAAAGGTGTTGTTTCTCATGTATTTTTCCCATGGCTTCAACCTGGAGTGAAAAACCGAGGAATCAATTCCTTTCTTCCTCTTGTTAATAAAGGATGCCCAAATACCCGTTTTTGACAAGAGCTTCCACCACATTTTGCATGAAAAAAGCATCAAGCACATCACTAAGAGACCTAGTGCCAAGTCCATTTTCTTTCGTAGGATATGCCATCTTTTCCCAGCTGCGCCAAATTCTTTGTTGTTGTCCATCAGCCACGCCCCAAAAAAATTTTGACAATCGACCCTCTATTCGTTTAAGGATGGCTTTGGGCGGATTGAAAGCTGAAAAAACATTTGGCATATATGAGGATAACACATGTTTAATTAGAATTAACTTACCTCCAGGGGGCAAAACTCTGCTTTTCCAACCAGATATCTTAGCATCAATTTCGGACAAGAGACCGTTAAAGTATTCCTTTTTGCATCTTCCCTTAAATAGAGTACCCCCAAGATAGTTGAGAGGAAAACTACCACAGGAGATTCCAGTAATGGCAGAGACAGTAGCAATGTTTTCTTGAGAAGCTTTCTTGGAAATTATGAAGGTGCTTTTGGATTTGTTAATTTTCTGTCATGTGCTTTCTTCATATAGTTTGAGGAAGTCCATAAGACTTTTCAATGAATTACGATTAGCTTTCACGAATATCACCAGGTCATCGGCAAAACTTAAAAGACTGATGGACAGAGATGATCTCAAAGAGTGATATGGTTGAATAAATCCTGCATCAATGATAGCATGAAGACCTCTAGGGAAGGCCTCAGTGAGTAAGATAAACAAGTAGGGGGACAGAGGATCCCCTTGCTTGAGGCCCCCAGATGGTTTAAAGAATTGAGATGGCTTACCATTGATGAGAACAGAATTCCAACAACTTGTAAGATTATTCATGATTACATTAATGAATCTATCATGAAAACCAAGTTTTGCAAGAAGTAGACTTATAAAATTCCATGACACTTTGTCGAATGCTTTCATCATATCAAATTTGAAAAATATATTATGACCTCTAGTTTTTTTGTCAATGGACTGTCCTAGTTCTTGAGCCAGCAAAAGATTGTCAGAGATATCTCATTCCACAAGTTTCGTCGTTCGTTCAATCTTGTTACATTTAGCATTTACCAGGGAAATAACCGACTCAAAGGAACCTAAATATGTTAGTCTTAAACTTAACATTTGAGCATATTGTGAAATCAAACTTACATTGAAATCATTAGACCAAAAAAACCAGATTTTACCATTTTCTGAACATAGTGCATTAGACAGACCAAACCGTAGTCTATAGTCGTCTAGTTTTGAATTTTTAAATAGGGGCTCAATCAAAACTATAAAATTAATAGAATGAGACTTTATTAAATTTTTACTCTCCGAGCTGTCTTACCGGCAACCCCTCGGATTTTCCAAATTAAAGACTTAATCATTTAGATAAATTAAAAGATGAGGTTGCGGACCTTGTACTTACAGTACGCTCTACCTTTCTTGTTGGGCCTCTTTCCTCTTCATTTCATTTTTCCTTTTCGGAGATGGAAGATTAGAGCTATGTTTCTCTTGTTGCAGAAATTCTTTTTCAGTGGTTGGCAAAGTAATTCCCCATTGAAGATTCTGCATTGATGATGATCTCCTCACTTCAGCCCCCTCGCGTTCCACCTTTTTGTCCATTTCTGAATTGTTGTTAAAATGCAGTTTCCTGAAAGTCTGAATCCTACTATCCGTCGATTAATCATTTAATCTAAACCAAATAGAAATGTTAATGAAAGTTTTTCATCTCAATCAGGTCCCTTTGCTTCCACTTGACCTACTAACTCAGCACACTTTCACTGACTTAAAAGGCATCGTTATGTTCATCGTTTTTCATACAAGTGATACAGAAGGGGTGATTTCAACATTTGGAACTCCACACTTTCACCAACTTAAAAGGCATCCTTATGTTCATATTTTTTCATTCAAGCGATATAGAAGGGGTGATTTCAACATTTGAAACTCCTTTTTCAAGAACAGCAATCAAATCCTTTATCGATATGGTGCGATCCATTGATGATTCTCGACCAGAAACATCAATTCGCCCCGCTTTTACGGCCTCTACTGCAATATATTAGAGGAAATTCATTAACTTAGAGCGACAAGGGAAAGAGGACTGATAGCCAAGATGCAAATCTGTACTGGGAAGCACTGTAATTAACTTGAAAATGGAACTAATGATTTCAGCAAAAGCCTAGCTTAGAAATAATCACATCAACCACAAACAGACTCATCCAAAAGGTCAAACATGCAGAAGCTTAGCCAATAGTACTGAGTAGATTTTCTAGATGATCAATGAAACTAGTTTGCGAAATAGCTGACGAGAAGTCAAAAAATATACAGGCAGCTCTATCCTGACAGAAGATCAAGAAAGGACTATTGGTTCAGGGAGATTTCTATCTTATGCAGAGAGATGATGATTCAGGGAATTCTTTTTCACACCGAGACTATAAGATCCAGTTAAAAGGCCGTGCACCAGTTTATGAGAATCGAAGGTAAAGAAAATCACACTAGTGTCAATTCGATTTAACCATATCAATGACAAAACACCACATAATAGAAAAGTAATCAATCCATGTATAAGTGATATCTCACCCTGGGGTAAAAGAAATCCCAAAAAAGCATTTCCATTTAAACTGATTACATACTTTTACCTAAAACTATAATATCCCAACTATAATATCCAGCAAACGTTTAATAGCTGATGTAGCCATCGGATGCCTCGATCTTGAACCCTGATAAGTAACCGTCATAGATCCGTTAATTCTATGAATATCCAGAAATTCAACCCTCCTAAATCTGTTGATTCTTAGAATACCTGAAAATAAGGACTAAAGTTTAACACACCTTGGGATTTTCTAAGATGAACTCTCAAGTTTTTTTATAAAAATCAACAATCAACGTATGAAGAAGCAGCCAAAGGGCTTAAATAGAGAAGAACTTATTTACTTCAAACCCTAATTACAAATAACAAAATTACTTAAATATCTAAATAATAAAACCCTAATTTACTTTAATTCTTCGCCTCCATGATTCTCCCCTGGTGAGAAAAACTCATCCTGGAGGTTAATAGTAGCTTTGCCATGATCAAATGGGAACCCAGCAAGAAACTTCCATAGGTAGGTGCATGATCTCGATTTCAACCCACCAAAAGAAAACATTAGCACGTCCCATATTGTCATCCCATTCAAATGAAATGAAAATGCAGAATTAATAATAAATGCATAACCAGGGGCTTCACATCCAAGCTCCATTGCCGAAAGACGAGGATGATGAAGAAAATTATGCCCAAAAGGAACAAGAACGTGATGTTCTCCCTGACAACGCAATTGGGTAGCACCGAAGATAATAGGAACCCGAGCAAAAAGCTTAGACCAAGTGAGCTTAGAACAAATGTATACCTCCGAAAGGCGACTAAATCGAACAAAAGTGTAAGTGTCCGCAACTACATGTACAGGGGAGAAAAACCAGTGACCAATGAGCAGTTGTTACCCTAATCGTCATAATTAGCAAGCTCCAGGATATCATTGCCTCCAAAATAGAATGCATCATTTTCTGCTTCATTAGTATTAACAAATGAACAAAAAGAATGGTGACCAACAACATCAAAGATATCATCGATTGAACGTGGGGAAAAATCAACCTCGGACAACTTTCTCCAACCTTCGCCATCGGGATATATATCAAACAATGGTGGTTTTGTCCAATCGATATCCCGCTCCCATTGGTCAAGATCAGATTCAAGAGCAAAAATATCGTGACCAAAAGCAAACTCACATTTCTTATCATTCTAAGTCAAGAAACGCTCATCAAGTAGTCGTTCCCATCTTAACCGAAAAGTCTTGATTCCATCTCTCACCTGTTGCCTGGAGTAAAGCACAAGCTCATCTTGTACTTCAACTAGGCGTTGCACCAGATGCTATTGTTGTTGCCGTTGCTTCTTGTGGCGGTGATTGGGGAGTCGTTGTGACACATTCTTGTGCACCGGTCTGCTTCGCCGCCTATCTTCTTTAGCCCAAAATTTTGGGACAATGTTGCTGCTTAATGACATAATCTTGTTGACAATGGTGCGGCTTGGACTTCGTCTGTATTGGTTTTCTTGGCCGGCTATGTTGCTGAATAGGAATTGATAGACAATTGATAATCCCTCGCCAATAGAGCCTCAAAGAGCTACTAAGACTGACTAAATAAATGTAATCGAGCAGCTTCCTCCAGTTTTGTAGACAATTTGCATCTGGGGGGCATCCCAATTAAATAAAAAAAATATTTAATAAACAAAAACTTTAAAAAAACCAAATAGGAAGCAAAATCGTGTCCAATACGAAAACCTATTATGGACCGCACAATGTGGCACAAACAGGTGCGTGCACACCACTAACCGATCACGAACAGTGTTACAAAAAAATGTTATTAGATCAATTGAGCAAGATAATATACTCCAGCAGCCGTCCAAATGCAAACAGTATAATACTTGAATTGATAATATAACTTGATTAATATTGCCCGTATTATAGTAAATATGTATTTACGATAGTAATTGTGAATTAGGGTTTACCTTATGTATATATATATATATATATGTATATATATATATATATATATATATATGCCTTGTATGATTCAATTAATGAAGAGAGATTGACATTATTTCTAACTTGGTACGGAGCTAGGATACCCTCTTTTTTTTTTATTTTCTGCTGGCGGCCGCCTCCCAACTTCTTGGAGTCTCGGTTTTCTGTCATCTTCTCCAGCCCTCCTCCCTCCCTGCTGTTGCGACTCCAACTTTGACCTGCTTGGAGCTTCGTTTCTTCTGCTTCCTCTCGGGCTTGTCTGTCTTTTGTCCTTTGCTGCTGCGTCTATTCTCTTCCCCCTCTGTTCATCATGTCTGAAGTATCTTCAACGTGCCGCCTAATTCTCAGTCAGCGAACAACTCCACTGCCGCGCCATCACTCAATCTCCAGCCGGGTCTTCAACCCATGAACCACTCGTTCACGGTCAAGCTTCAATCAAGGGCCAATTATCTAGCGTGGAGATTGCAGATTACTCCGCTGCTTAATATGTTCAAGCTTTTCGGCATTGTCGACAGTTTCGAACCAGCCCCGCTACGTTTCCTCCCTCCTGCCAGTGAAGCGCCGTCTCAACCAAACCATGCCTTCGACGTGTGGCATCAGAAGGACCAGATGGTCTTCTCCTGGATCCTCTTTTTTGTCACCGACGAAATCTTCCCCGCGCTTCAGGGAGCCACGACTTCAGCAGCTGCGTGGTCTGCAATCCAAAAGGGATACGAGACTCTTTCCTACGCCCATCAGACTCCATTGGTGCTTGAACTCCATACCCTTCAGAAAGGAGATCAATCCATGTCTTCTCTTCTTCATAAAGCCAAGGGAACTGTCGATTCCCTTAATCTTACTGGTCATCAAATTTCGGTGGCAAAATTCAACACCATTATTTTTCGCAAACTTGGGAGTGAATTTAATGGCATTATTGGTGCCTTGCAACAGCGAGAAGCGCATCCCTCTTTTCAAGATTTGTTGGGTCAATAGGTGTCTAATGAAGTTCTCCTTCATGCCCAGCAACTTCATGCCCAGCAACCGGTTTCTTCACCGACGGCCTTGCTTGTGCAATATTCGCCACCCGGCGCGCAGCCACCAACCTCTTGTGGTGGTCGTTCTCAACGTGGTGGTCGCCGCTCTCCTTTCGGTGCTTGTGGTGGTGGTCGTCGTGACTATTCTTTTCTGTCTCGCAGTGAAACTTGTAAACTTTGTGGCATTTTGAATGACACTGCTGCTTCTTGTCACCACCGGTTTGACTCTAGTATTGTCTCTTGGCCACCTCAGCCATCCGCAGCTTACACTCAGTTTGTGTCTCCGTCCCAGAACGCACCAAGGTTGTTGCCTCCTCCTTATCCAGATTTCATTATGGCTTCTCCATCTCACATGGTTCAGGCTGCCTCTCCTTCTACTCCTCGGCATCCGGATACTGGTGCTACCGCTCATACGACTCCGAACTTGTCATCGCTGAGCATCTCTAATGACTACCATGGTATGGATCATCTTCTTGTTGGTAATGGTACTGCTTTATCTATTAAGTATGTTGGTCAATCTGTTTTGCCAACCATTTCTCGTCCTTTATATTTAAATAGTGTCTTGCATGCTCCTGCTCTTACTAAACCACTCTAATCTGTTCAAAAGTTTGCCACACTATTTTTTTTAAATTCTATTGTTATTCCTGTTCTGAAGGATCTCTCAACCAAGGAACTGTTCCTCCAAGGTGGGGCTGACATTGGTCTCTACCGCTTGGACCTTCCTGGTCGTGGTTCCTTATCTCCAGCCACTTATCTTATTTCTCTAGGTGAATGGGATGCTCGTTTAGGGCACCTTAATAATGTTATTCTTCGTACCTTAGGCAGTTTTAGCTTCCCCATTCTTCTTTGTCCACGTCCATTTCTAAATGTGTGGCGTGTTGCTTAGGGAAGTTGCATCGAGTCAGTCGGTCTTCTACATTTCATCGTTTTGCTAAATCTCTTGACTTAATTCATACTGATATTTGGGGACCTGCCCCTCTCTTGTCTTTTAATGGCTATCGCTATTTGTTCTTTTTGTTGATGATTTCTCGTTATTTACATGGCTCTATCCTATCAA